ATCGAGTATTCGCTAGCTGGGCTTTGAGCTCGCCTATTAGGGTGTAGGAATTACCGCTGCGATGGCTACATATTTAAAATGCCGCTTCTCGTAGTCTTCGGCCTCCCTGGCTCTCTTCTTGTCCGCTTGGCCTGCCATCCTCTGCAAGCCCTAGAACCCCCCAGGTGGCCATACAGGTACGCGTGTCTTGCTGGATTGGGATGTCGCGGGTTGAAAAGATTTGACCTCTGTTATTATGTTCAAAGTAGGGAATAATACGACTGGGAACAGAAAGAGTGAACTTCAGGGAGACACTACGAGCAGAAACAGCAGGAAGCCCAGCAGCCTCCCATGCACAAAGGCTTCAAAAATTGGAATTTGGAGGAATAAAAGACAAACTCGCTATTATTGATTAAGATAATACAAGACAAATAGTGATCAATGCCGAACTGACAGCTCCAACAGTAGAGATTGAGCGACTTAGCTTTGGGACTCCGAGGAGTCCTTCGCCACCTACTCACTCTCTAACATGGTAGACTGCACAAAAATACGGTGTAATCTAGCTAATAGCTAAATTCGAAGCTTTGATCTGTTTGAACATAGACTTCTAACCCTTTGACTTGCGGTTCGTAAACCTTCAGCGCTATACCGTTTCCGTTATGTAAAAGCTTGATGCTCTTGGCGCAAAGCCCAAAACTCATTAGTTGATCGTAAACCGTGACACTATATGCTTACCCTGAAGCATGATTAAAAGTCCCTCGTGCAGAGGGTCGATGGGGTGGGCATCCACTTGCATGAGCCCCATGGGTGGTTTCAGGGGAAAAAAACAACGTGGGGATGAGCTAATGCCTAAGGCATAGGACCTATGCCCTAAAACGTAATCACGTTACCTTTATACAAACTCAATGAAAGAGGGCAAGGGCTTGGAGCTTGGCCGGTACTCGAGTTTTCTAGTCATCCAAGCAATTTGCACAGCACGCCGGATTCAGAGCGCACCCCTGTGGATAGCTTCAGAGAGCGACCAATAGCGTAGTGGCGCCAGCATACAGGCTGCATTGTGACCCAACGCTCTTACGAATGAATGCTCGTCTTTTTGCCTCAGCCCTTCGGGCCATATATGTATAGCACAAACTAACTGTCTCTGTACTTAGAGGGTGTTTTAAAAACTCTAGACCTGCATGTCTAGCTGTTTCCTTGTCTGCCACACTCTACTTATCTGCCGGCCCACTTAGCTGCTGTCCTGCCTCATGAAAGTTTTGTGCTTAGCATGCACCTGTCTGCGCTTATCGTCTTTGAAAGCGAGGCAGTGCTAGATACTGCTCATCTTTTGCCTTGGCCTTTGCATCGATGAAGTCAGAACAATAAAAGGTCACGTTGTTTCCACGTTCGAGTGGCTCTGTATCGCGATCTTCTTGCACTGTGTACTTTTTGGCAGACCTCCAGAAAAGTACTTAGCTTCTGCCATCTTTCCCCTCGCTAGCAGGTAAACGGTAGAAGCAGAGTGCCTACTTCCGCGAGAATAATTTGTGATGCGCAGTTTTACCTGGAGCCCTTGGATAAGTATCACAGTAGCTAAAGGCTTCTACACAAAAAGAGGGCAAGAGCCGGGAGTCCCACTTCAGGGGGCTACAGGAGTTTTGCCTGCATAGGCAAATGGAGGCCAGGCGGCCAACGACAGAAAGGTGGGCCCTGAGGACTCAAGAATACCTATTTTACAGAGGGGAAATAATATTGGAGAAGTCACGCTAGATACATCGCGCCTGCATTAGCCTTTGGGATTAAATGAGTGGTTAGCGAGAGTTGAAAGAACTAGGTGCAGAGAAAGAACGGTGAGGAAATTTTTGTTCTGAAAGTACACCAGTTGGACTGATAATTGCGGGTAAACGAGACACCCTAGCCAAATTTTATTTTGTTAGGGTACCGTTCACTAATTCCTCTCTATTGACACGGAGATTACGAACGTAGACTTTATTGACCAGATTTCAATAGCAAGTGTCTCTGTAGCTAGCTCTGTCCTGCAGGACAATAAGCCGCCAATAAGGAAGCCAGGAATCGTCTTGTGAAGCCCCCTTGAAACAGTAGACCCACAATTCGAGCCTGAGAGAAGGCTGAAGCGATTCCAATGTATGACTACTAAAAGCGCGCAAAAGGCAACAGATGCATTTGTCGAGGCCGATGGGGTTGTGGTTTTCTCCATCCACGGTCAAAGACCTGAGATCTTGCCTCAAGCTGATGGCATGCCAGTATATTGCGTCATGCTTGCAGCCCCCTCAAGCCTATTCTCTAGCAGTGAGCCTATGTGCCTTGCCATCTATACGGGCCAACCATTATCGCGTCTATCCGAGGTCCAGTGAGCACTGCTCGCCTCATGCGAAATCCCCAGACTAGGGAAAGAGGAGCAGCAGGAGAAAACTTCACGTCGGCTTGAGTTTTACCAGTGACATGACAGTGCTGCTTGACCTACAAGAAAAAGCAAAGTTTGGGGATTGTTAGAGAAAGGTGGATACAACCCAACGTATTGCCTAACGTCCCCACTCCAAGCATCAACCTGTAATAGCAAAAGCTGCACCATGGAAGCCACTCCAGAGGGCTGTTTACTTAGTTTTTCTTCCCCGGACCTAAGAGAATTCACGTACGGGATGGGACTGGCAGGAGCTGCTTGAGTAACGCAGCCAGCAACGCTACACTTTGGCATTTTCTAATTCAACCCATGTACTTTTAAAAGAACTACTCTAGAACGAACTCATAGGCTTGGTTATTCGTGTATCTGTTTTCTGGCAGAGTAGCGTAAGCACCATGCAGTATTAGGCACTTCTATACGTGTGCGCTAGATGCGATGTGCAATTAGCTGGGAGTGTTTGGAGTGCTTCTAGCGTGCAGCGATGTACAGCTACGCTGTCCTTCGCCTCTCATGTCGTAACCCTCAAGGACAAAGGTATTCAAATGGAGGAGCTCTTTTAAAGAAACTTTGTAAGTTTATCCGAAGCTTGTATTGGGTATGCAATGAAGTATACCCCTACAGAGATCTTAGACGGAATGTTACAAATGATGCATTTGGCAAGCAGAGCAGCAGGAAAGAGTTTGGCGTGGCTCATGCACCGTTCATTGGCTTTCTATTTACCCTATATATTCCTTTACTGCTTCTAGTTAGTTTTGTCTGTGCATTTGCTCAGAAGAGTCACTAAGGAGTAGAGGTGTGTGGAGTTAAGCTGCACTTAAACACCTTAACGAACACCAGTCGTTTAGTTGAGAAATAGAGGAATCGACTGACTACTTCAACTGTTCATGTATCTTATTTATTGCACCATACCGCCAGCTCGATACACAACCACTCCATGTTGCGTTTGAATGTGCGGTAGATGCCATATGTACCTAGCTGGGAATGCTTTCAATGCATATAGGCTACATCAACACGCAACCCAACAGTACCCTCCCCATCATGCTGGCAAATCTGAGGGATGAGGGCAGCAGAACGGGGGGGCACTTTCGAGAGACAGTCATTACTGTTAACGCATTTGTATTGCGCCTCAAGTTAGATGTTTCCTGACTCAGACCTTTGACAGAGCGCTACATGAGGTTTCGTATAACAGACCTGTACTTCAGATAGGCAAAAGGGCTGTAACGGGCTTTATTTATTAGGCCTCTTAACTCAAAATCCCATTCTTTAAATTGCAATTACTGTACTCAATATCAATGGCAACGCCGAAGCATTGGCATGAAGGAAGGGGCTTTCGCAGGGTTGAGTAGCTCAGCTCACTAACAAGCAACACGGAGCAAATTTTGCGGCAATAATCCGGTACACCTGCCAACATAGGGTTCTGTGGCCCAATGGTATGGAGACACAGCCGAGGGTCTCATTCCCCCACTTTTGCCATACTTCTGTTTCTCTTTCCTCTCTCTTTTCTCCCTCACAGACAAATCGAGCCTGTCCTCAGCAGTTGTTCAACGTCAAAGGGAAGGGGGAGATTTTGTGGGACCTGAAGCCGCTGTTCTTTGGACCTGCTATGGTAAGTTGCTACATGGAAGTATCAATTGTCGTCCACTCTCACCCTGGCCGCCACTGCCCAGCTATGACCACAAAGAGAATCCCACATTGGAACAGTGGCAACAAAATTACAATTCGAGTCAAAATTGAATGAAGAAGGTGAAACAACTGGGACAGAGAAACTGACTGTTCTTCGTACGGCTGTGCCAACCAAAGCATGATTCGGCTGCAGGGAAAGCCGCTTCTTGATTGGGCGCACGCCTTAGAGGAAACGCCAACAGCTCTGTAATGGCTTGACCAAAACATCACAAAACAAACGAAATAAATGAATAAAACTTTTTATGCTTATCCGTCTCACCGCCTCCGAGGTGTAGATACGCTTCAGCGATCGGCTGCGAGGCTGCAGCCAGCCACTGCAGACTTTCCTCTTCCTTTACTTTTTGAATGCCATAAAGGGTAAAAAGGGTGGAGGGAGTAGAACTGTGTTCCTATTCCATATGCGACGGCAGCTGCAACCACCCTCCATTTCACCCAGACAACTCAGAGAGGCCCCCAGTTGCCTCGAAACGACTGCCGCTTCCCTCTGCCAGCCTCCCATTTCCGCTGCACAGTTGAACCAGTCTCCTCCGTCACCCTCTGCAGACTCATGCAAACAGCTGCAGTAGCCTGTAGGGGGCCCCTTGCGCGCAGCCAGTCCAGGCGAGGGCGGCTCACTAAGGAGGCCGCATCTATTCTTTTGGGGAGGCTGTACCCCGCCTTCGCTCCGCCATTGTCATCAAGAGGCACAATACGAACCACATCATAGCAGCGAGATTTAGCGCAGTCCTCCCCGTTCAGGCCTCCTGTCGCCGAGTTTGCAGTCAAGGGTTTTGGATTCAGGGCTTTAAGTGTTATTTCGTCAACCCCCAAGTGTGCATCTTTCTCCCGTTACCACTGTCTACTTCCCTTTATGATTGAGCACCTGTGAAGCCAATATTCGATCGAAGGGACTGACTTCTACTAGTGCTCCCTTAGGGGGGGCCCTTCAGTATCGGTGATGGTGTCGGGATATTCCGGGGGCCCCATGGGGACTTTAGGGGCCCCAGGGCCCCCTGAAGGAGAAATGCGGTGCCCTATTGGGACGCGTATCTATGTGCCCTCTGCTGAGTCTGTATGGACAACAGCATCGGTGGTTTCTGTCGAGGCAAATGGAGTTCTTATTGCGAAACTAGACGCTGAAGGACAAGTGGTGCAGCTAAAGAAAGGGGACCCTTTTTACCTCTGCAATACAGGTCAGATAAGAGAGGAGTCTCAGACTCGTTGGTCGATTAGATATGCTCAAACCTCGAAACTGTGGTGTCGTGCTTCAATGCTGGCAAGCGAATATCATGGTTCAGGGTTTCCGTTTCGTGGTTTGTGCAATACAGATGAATGGAACGCCCGTGGTCTATGTGCTCCGGAGGATTTGACATCCTTGATGCATCTTCACGAGGCTGCCGTCCTGGATTCTTTGGATATCCGCTTTGAAATTGATTCTATCTACACATTCACAGGCCAAATCCTCATCGCTGTCAACCCCTTCAAAACCTTGAAGGGCTTGTACGATTACTCCGTGAGATACAAGCCATTAGTCACTCTAAGAGGAAACCTTAGGCCGCCAGTATAGGGGATCATTCAAATTTTAGTATCCCAAAGGCGGGCACCTCGTTCTAGACATGCCCTAAACCAACCCTAAGCCGATACGTGGCAACAGCCAGCCGTGCGGCTTTTCCTAACGAAGTGCTTCCCTTTGCTGCCCAGACCCCTCAAAATGTCGAAATTAGAACCCTCGTGCTCTTAAAAGCTATACGCGAACCCCATGCTAGAGAGTCCGTATGCTGTTTCGTAGACGCTAAAGCGATACATCCATCTACGAGGTTTTGAATCCGATGCGTCTCGCGTAGCTACGAGTGGAGCGGCTGCGCGAGGCTCAAGCAGCGAGGGAACTCATGGGGGAGGATCTCGAGATGCGTTAAAGGAACCTCATGTGTTTGCAACAAGCAGTGCAGCCTATGAGGGCATGTGCCTTAATCGGAAGAGCCAGACAATCCTGATTAGCGGAGAGTCTGGAGCCGGCAAGACGGAGAGCACGAAATTTGTGATGAAATTCCTTGCATGTGCGGGTAGCGACGACATTGAGAAACGCTCCACGGTGAGGGGTGTGAAGGGGGGACACGCGGGATGCCGCAAAGTCTCGAACACGCACTTCGGGTTGTAGTTGGTCTTCTGTTTCGCAGCGGCAATGCGAGAAGCTATGCATTCGCCTTCACGTAGAAGGGCCATTAGTGCTGCTGCCTGCCGTTTCTCCTCGCCGCATTGTTTAGGTTGAGTCGCAAGTGCTGGAGTCCAATCCTCTACTGGAGGCTTTCGGCAACGCACGCACACTGCGAAATGACAATTCTTCGCGCTTTGGCAAATTCATCGAGCTACAGTTCTCCGTCTTTCAAGACAGCAAGGGGACCCCAAGGGGAAGGTTAGGCAGTCCTTCCTGTCGGATAAATGTTTTCGGACTTGTGGGGGGGAGGGGGGAGGGGGAGGGGGGTGCAAGGGACGGCGTAGAAGGCCTTTGTTTCTCGAGGAAACGGTATCTAATACATTATCCCGGGATTGAGTATCTGTCGGGCTATGTGGAGGAGGGGGGATGTGTATGCGTTTGGCCTCGAGGTTCCGTGTCGCTGATGGTTGGGGGTGTCTGCTAGCCGTGTGCGTAGATCGTGCAGCTGGCATGCCGCTTGGCGTCTTTGCTGTCTTGGTGCAGTTTTTCTCCTCTGTCTAGAGCTCCTTTGCCTGCTTCCTCAGTTTTAGAGGCATGCTCGTTGCGATTGAGTGTCAGGTTGTGCGGCGCTCGCATACAAACGTACTTGTTGGAGAAGGTCCGCGTTTGTTCGCAACAGGAGGGCGAAAGAAACTTTCATATTTTTTATCAGCTTTGTGCTGCTGCCGCACGTGCCCAGGAGACAGGCGGTGTTTATACTTTGTCTCCCTCTGCGGCAGCAGGAGCTGCTGCTGCGGCAGGTGCTGGAGCAGGGGATGCAGAAGGCGCTGTAGACGCTTTTTTAACGTTGAATATGTCTGCCTATGAGTCTCGGGAGCACTTCAAGTTCTTAACGTGTAGCAGCTGCTACCAGCTGCAGGGGGTAGACGATGTAGAGGCATTTGACGCCACACTGACGGCGATGCGAACCCTTGGGATTCCCCAGCAAAGTATTCAAGATGTCTGCGATGTTGTGGCCGCTGTGCTCTGTCTGGGCAATGTTTCGTTTACGGCCTTGGATTCTGATACAGAAGCATCGGATGTCTCCGCTGCAGCGCTGCCGTACCTGGAGAAGGCAGCTAAGATGCTGGGAGTGGAGCCGGAGGCGCTCAAGGAGGCAATGTGCTACAGAACTATAAAGACCGCAAGAGAAAGCCTCAGGTCGGTTTGGTGCTGTGCGGTTGCCATTAGTAGGGCATTTGATGTTGCGCCTCTTTCTGCATATCCATAGGCACCATATGCCCGCATTTGTGCCTGCTTCTTCTTGAGCGCCTATGTAGCGTTGCGAACTTGTGATCTGCGATGCTCAGAAAACCGATGCGTCAGGAGGAGGCGACGGAGATGCGCTGCGCTCTATGTAGGGCCTTGTACGGTTGTTTGTTTCTTTGCGTAGTAAAGCTGACGAACAGCAGTATCGGCTTTGTGTCGTCCGAGGAGGCAGCGGCAGCTGCGGCAGCAGCTGCCGCAGCTGCCGCTGCCGAGAAGAAGCCTATTGGACCTGCGTCCTCCAAGAAAAAGTCTTTTTCGCAAGATTTGTTGTTCTGTGGGGTTCTGGATATCTTCGGCTTTGAGTGTTTTCCCCATAACTCCTTTGAGCAGCTGTGTATCAACTTTGCAAACGAGCGGCTCCAGCAGTTTTTCAACTCGTTTGTTTTCCTCTGCGAGGAGCAGCTTTACCAAAAGGAGCAGATCCACTGGTGCCCCCTGGACTTCCCGAACAACGCAGACTGCGTTGCGTTGCTACAAGACAAGTATCAGGGTGTCTTTGCTCTGCTAGATGAAGAGTGCGTTGTTCCTGGAGGAAGCAATAGGGGCTACAGCCTCAAGCTTGCAAAGAAGTATGCACCAAGCAGCAGCAGTACCGGAGCCGTCAGTAGCGGTGGCGGCAGCAGCACTGAGGCAGGCCCAGCAAGCCGTTTCCGACTGAACAAGACAAAGCAGAACTCCTTTATTGTCAGACACTTTGCTGGAGACGTGGAGTACTGCACGGATGGGTTTCTGGAGAAGAACAAAGACTTGCTTTCTCTAGATTTGCAACGCTGTGTTGCTGCAGCTGCGAAAGAGTTTGTTGCTGCTTTGTTCCTTAACTTCCTAGAACGAGGCGGCGCGCTGGGAGTGGCGGCAGCAGATGCAGATCAGCAGTCTCATCAGTCTCAGCAACAGCAGCAACAACAGCAGCAACAACAGCGTAAGCGGAAGGCGCTGACGGTATCTGGAGAATTCAGGGAGCAGCTGCACACGCTGATGGAAACAATAGGGGAAACGAGTCCTCACTTTATTCGTTGCATCAAACCCAACCCGCAGAACCTGCCGGACGTGTTTCACCGGCCTTCAGTTAACGAGCAATTACGATATGGAGGTGTGCTGCAAGCTGTTCAGGTGTCTCGAGCAGGCTATCCTGTCCGCCTCCCGCATGTGGAGGCCCTCAAAGATTATAGACCCCTCGCCAGCAAAGCACTGCAGCAGCAGCTGCTGCAGCAGCAGCAGCGAATGCAGCAGCAGCAACAACAGCTGACGATGCAGCAAAAGCAAGAGCAGCAACAAATGTGGAAAAATATGGCGACAGTGCTGCTTCAAGAGCTTAACGATTCCCTGCATGTAGGGCCTCCAGGGGCCCCTCCGCAGGGAGGCCCTCAGGGAGCTACGTGGGCAGTAGGGGCGACTCTCTGCTTTTTCAAGAGGGAGTGTTTCGAGCTGCTTTCTTCCGCGCTTGTCACGAAGCGTGCTGCAGCGTCAACGCGCATACAAGCTTGCTTTAGGGGTTTCCAGCAGCGGAAGGCCTACATGGGACTAAGAAGAGACACCGTGATCATTCAGAGGGCAGTTAGGGAGTGGCTTCAGCGGAGGGAACGGGAGCGCCAACACAGGAATGAGATGGCCATCAAGATACAAAATTTTATGAAGATGGTTGGGCAACGGAAGAAGTATCTCAGGTCAGAAGAGTTCTCTCTCTTCGCGCATTTGGAATGATGTCTGCGCCGTGTGTGTCGTTCCGCCTGCTGGGATGCCGTCTGCCAACTGCCCGTTGTTCATCGCCGCTTGCTGCTGCTTTCTGTCGCTTCAGGGTGCTTAGAGGTATTGTTCGGCTGCAGGCGCTGGTTCGAGGTCGCAAGGCCCGTGCAGTGTCTCTCTGTCTCCGCGAGAATCGTGCCGCTGCGCTTATCCAAGCGTCTTGGCGGATGAAACAGCAGAGGCAAAGCTTCACCAAGCTGAAGAAGGCAGCCATTCTTGCTCAACTGCGGTACTGCAAATACTCTTGTGCCTTGTTGCCCCTGAGAAGCCTCGCTGCGTTGCCTCAGTCGCTTGCACGTTCGAAAAAAGCAGGCTAAGGGATGGGAGCTGTCGGCACGGGACTGCTTGTATGTGCGAAGTCTGATGTACTTCCAATTCTATCGGGCTGCTCGTTGGACGCTTTGTCCTACTGTCAAACTTCAGATCCTCTCTGTCTGTTGTACGCTCGAATATGTTTTCTGTGTGTCTCCGCTCTGCTACGTGGTGCCTGCTGATAGGTGGAAGCGGCTGCTGGCCATTCGTCAGTTGCGACATCTAAAGGCAGAAGCTCGCGATGTTGCAGGCCTCGTCAAACTAGTGCAAGTCCGTTGCCGTATTGCTGCTCCCCCTTTAGCTCATATTTTTGACTTCTAATCAACTCGCTCCACTTTTCCCCGTTATGGAGGCCGCACATGTGCCTTCTAATCTGTGCGTGATGATAGTTCTGTCGCTGCATGTTCCTTCTGCGGTAGTTCTGTCGCTTGCCGTGGAGGGATGATTCCAATCTCTTCTTCAGCTTGCTTCAGTCGCTGCCCGGTTCTTTCCTTCGGTGTGTGTATCGCATTGTTTCCAACTACCTGTCAGTCTCTCTCTTCCTCCCTCTGGTCTTGGCAGAATGCTTCATCAATGCTTCGTTGTTTGTCTAAACGAGTCTTTGTCGCCGTTGCTGCTGCTGTTTCAGGGCTTAAAGCAGGAGCTGTCGGAGGCGCGGCAGCAGACAGAAGAAACTGCAACTCGCGAGCTGCAGCAGCAGGTTAGGTTTCCTTTCATCTTGCACCTGCTGCGGCTGAGATAATAGATTTTGGTGCTCCTATGGCATGCGCTGTTGCATTCTGGTTGGATGAGGCATCTCTCGATCTGATGCTCTTGTCACTGCGGGGGTTTGATGTAGGCGCGCGCTGATGAGCTGCAGAAGCAGCTGCAGCAGGCCAAGAAGGAGGTTGCAGATTTGAAGGCTGAGCTCAAAGCCAACGCAGGTGCTGCTCAGCTGAAGCCTTTTAGCATGGTTTACCCGATCTTCTTGAGGGTTGGGGTTAGCGAGGGTGGTGCTGCGTGGAAATGGCAGTGCGCGTCTTGGATTTTCTGAGGGTTTGCGAAGAAGAAGCCAGCCTTCAGCGCGTATACGTGTTGGAAAAGGGTTTGGCTGTGTGCATGTCTGATTTTCAGAGATTTTCGCGCAGCAGCAGCAGCAGCTGGAGAGTTTGCGGTTGCTTTTGAGCCGCGAAGACACAGTGGCAGCAACAGCACCTGCCGCTTCGGCAGCGGCAACAGCAGCAGCAGCCTCAGAGGACACAGCGGCTCCTGCGTATCCCCGACGCGGTGCTGGCGCAGACGTGCGAGACCTTAAGTGCTTAGTTGAGCGTCGGGAGGCTGAGGCAGCAGCAAGGCAGCAGCAACAGGAGCATCAGGTGCAGCAATTGCAGCAGCAGCTTCAGGAGCTCCAGCAGCAGTTGCAGCAGGAGCAACAGCAGCGGCAGCGCGCTGAGGCAAAATACAAACTTGTGCTTGAGGACAGCAGCCTCAGCGGGGGTCGCACTCCAGGGGCCGCTGCGCCGGCAACGGCGGAAGCAGCAGCAGCAGCAGCAGCGGCGGCGGCAGCAGCAGCAGCGCCGACACTACCAGCACGTGAAGCGGCAGCAGCCTTGGCAGCGGGAGCATCGGGGAGGGCAGTTCTCAAGAAGCATTCAACAGGAGAGGGATTGAGATACACTGAAGGCGCTTCCGTTATGTGTGACCGGCGGTTCATTGACGTTATGCTCTTAGGGCCCGCCAATGTCGGGAAAAGAGAACTTTTAAAGGCCTTGGTCGAAAAGCTTGGAGACAGGCATGCGCTACAGCAGCTGCAGGCTCCTGCAGAGGCGGAGGGAAGTTTCGAGCAGCTTGTTAAGGTAATGCGCAATGTTCGGCTGCTGTTGCTGCTTCTCTGTTGCTTGCCGCTGTGCCTTCAGTCCTCATACAGCCAGTGCTGCGTCTGCGGCTATTTGAGAGGGATGCTGCTCAAATGGCGTCAAGACACCGGGGCTGTATCCACTGCTGCAGCTCCTCTGCGCTTATGGATGCATGTGCTCTGGACAAGTCGCCTTTGCGCGGTGTCATTTGCGGATTTTGCAGGTGAAGGAACCTGGAGGCCCTCGTTTGGTTTGTCTGTGCTTCACGTATGACGGTTCTCCGCAGTGTCTTGAGGTCTTGCGCCAGCGAGTGCAGCAGTCCTTTGTGGTCTGCTTGGTGTTCGATCCGTTGAGGCAATCCACGTACAATGCTTGTCTCTCCCTCCTGCGCGGCACAGCCTTACCTGCGATCAAGGAAGCTCAGAGCCCAGAGCTTCCAGGCACGCAAGTCTTCTTCATTGAGAATAACTGGGGAGCTTCCGCCAGCAGGGATCTTATTGAAGTCGATATCCAGACGGCCAGAGATGCCGGTGAGGCGATATTGCCTCTCTTTTGAGACACTTTCTTGACATTCCTGTACTTTATGCTGTCTTTCCGTGTTTCTGGGGTGGCAAAAATATTTGCCTCTTTAGGGAAGGTTTCTGAAGGCTCATGGGGTGCTGTGTGTCCTCCTTCACGCGTGTGCTTTTTGTGCAGTGGCTTCGTTGGGGTGTCACTACAAGGCTCTGATGCATCTGTCGTCTCTGTATGACGACTTGCGGCCTTGGCTGCAGACGTTGGCAGCGTACAGGAGGAGCAAGCCCGAGGCTTTGCGGCCGCTAAATTCATCCAAATCGCAGTCTTTTTCGCCTTCTCAGGGGCTGCTGTCGGGAGGAGGCCTCCTCAGAAGCTCAGGCTCCTTCCCCGCTGCTCTTGTGGATACTATTCGCTCCTTCATTGCAACAGGAAAGGGCAGCTACGAAGCCACAAAACGCTCTATCAGAATCAGCCAGGAGCTGCAGTTCCTTCTCCCGTCCGTCCCTGTAGCGGATAACCAAATGCCAGTGCTTCAGGGCCCCTGCGATGGAGTTGTGCCAGTGGTGGAGGTTGTGGTGAGGCAGCGATACACACAGAGTGCTGCTGCCCTTCACTTTCTGTCGCTCGTTTCTTGTCGGCTCTTCTTCATCGGGCCTCGTCAAATTTTTGAAGCATTCGGGGTTCAGACAGGAAGGTGTACAGACGGGGCAGGCAGTTGTGGGTGCAGTTAAGTGACGCCTGATTCGCTTTGCTTTTGGCTTGGAACGGCGATATCGGGACTCGTTTGGTTCTCAATTTCTCCGTCTTTTTTCTCTCTCTTTGTGTGTGCACCATTCGGTGTTAATTATATCGATAGCAATGGTAGTACGAGTAGGGCAGTTTTGCCGCTTGCCTCGCTTTGTAAGTGTATCTTGATGTGCATCAACAGAAACGGTATGCCGGGCTGCGTGTGTTGGCTTGCTGTTTCAGCCTACGCAGCTCGAAGAGCGCGAGGCAGTTACGTGTTTGACCTTTGGCGCTGAAAGGGAAAGGAGAGACTTCATCCTTCTGGCTGTCGCACGGAAGAATGGGTATGTTGTCGTCTACCGCTGCTATAGAACGAATATCGAAAAGGAGGCCCTTGACCCCCATGATGTTCGCTCACTAAACGCCGACGAGAACTCTATTCCAGGAGAGGCTAAACCAAGACACGTCAAAGTCAACAGGGCCTCCCCCCTACCAGAGACCCTGGACAAGATCACTGTACACAGCGAAATGGTGAGGCACGAAGACATCAGAGGAACAACAAGCCCCCGTCGATCGGGTGTCTTACATTGTTCACACTCTCCAAACCCTCAGCCCCTCTCTGGTGCATCGTATCGTACCAAGTTAATCAGAAATCTTTCTCGACTTCAATTTTTTACATGCGCACTTCAAAAAATTCCCCGAACAAAACTCACGATCAATCGAGAGCATGTAATGCACTGCTCAGGTCGGACACGTGAGGGCCGTCACTTCGATGTTCTTCAGCCTTTTGGAAGATTTCCTGGTCACCACTTCCATCGACCTCACCATCCGATTCTGGTGATACAATGCAGTCCCCACACAGCTTTCCAAGAGAGCCTTCCTGGGTCCCTTTTCTACATGCATCGGATGCGCTGCCTCAGGAGTTCTGCATTTTCGAGTCATGATCTATGCGCATTTGGCCGCTCAAGTTTCTCCTACAGTATAGGATGACTGTGGCTCTTCGCATGCATTGCAGGGATCTTCCTGTTTTGTTTTGTTCTTTGTTTCAGGGCCGTGGATTCAGGGGCTAACGTGAAGGTCTTCGCAGACTCCGCTGCTCCTCTTGCTGCTGCGCTTCTACCTTTCAATCCTTCTGTTTTTATCGCCTCCAACAGCAATTCCCTGCTGCGTCTTGTGTGCTCAAACACTGGCAAAGTAAGAACCCAAAGTGCATGGTCAATGCGTAAAGAGGTACTTGCTAGTTACCTACATAGCGATCCAGCTCCTAGCGCTATGGGGAGGTCCTCCGCTCTCGGTACCCGATCGCGCGGATGCGCTCCAGACAGGTTATGCATTGTGAGGTTTTTGGTGGTACTTCATTTTTTATTTCAGGTGCTGCAGAAGATGAAGATGGAGTCAGAAGTGCGGGCAATTAGGTTTGACGACACAGGATTATTCTGCTTCGCAGGGAATAAGGCCGGGCAGCTGTGTGTCCTGGAGGCTTCCGATAATGCTACTCTGACCTACAAGTACAAGCTCAATATTAGCAAAGTATGCCTTTCACGTTCCGTTACCATCTCTTCCTCAGAATTAGACGCGACAATAGCAAACCTGTTCTGCCAGCTGTCTTTTGTTCCCATGTGGATCCCGTTTCAAAATATGCGCTTGGGAGCTCATTGCGCTCTCTCTAGGATCCCATATATTTTCTGCATATCTGGGGAGTGTATGCTGTATGCCCTTCTTTGTAGCTGTTCAGAGCACTTCGTGTCCTACCTTGCCAGACCTAGTGAAGTGCCTTGAATGCGTGTATTTGAACTTCTGCATTGGGTATTTGCGGACTGTTTATGCCTTTCTGGCTTTTTTGATAGGGAGCGATTACCTGCATTACTTTCGTGCCGAGCAGATCGCCGAGGGAGCGGCCACTGGTAATTGCGAATTGCTGTGACTCGAATGTGGCGGTGGTGGAGTGCGTATACGGGATGGAAAACGGGTCACTGTCTAATCTTCAAGTTTGGTGCGTTCCTTTAGATGAAAGAGTTAAAATCGTGCGGCTTTTAATTCATGGGCAAAGTATAGGGTAAACGGCCACAATTGCGTGCTCTTGTCTCAGAATGCTCGTAGCCATCAGCAGGCACCCATCCCCTCAAGTTCTCTCTATCGCTACGAATCATCACTATAACAAGTCTCTCTTTCGACTTGTTTTGTCTTTATCTTGTTTCCGTTGCAGCCGTAGATTGAAGATGCAACACGAATTACTGCCACTTAGAAACTGCTTCCTACCAACAGGAGGCGGCTGGTTGGTCTCGGGATGCGAAGACATGAGCGTTTTCTGCTTTCCCTTAAGGGAGCACGCGTCGGCCAAAAGTGGATTTCACCTTTCAAGGCACTCTGTAAGACAAAGATTTCCTGGACCGACTTTATGTTGCTTTGAATCTCAGCTAGTATTTGTCAGCCAAAGCCGTCCTTTCTTCCAATGACTTGTGCTCCCACTTTCGTCATGTTCTCCTGTGTGCTGCGCTATACCCTCCATCTCTGTTCGTTCAAGTCTAGTGCATGTGCACCACTTCAGAGATATTCGCCGAGGGTCTCGCCTTTCTTAGGCTGCTTTGTACTGCACTTGTGCTCCCAATAATTTTCGTTAGTTTCTTCCACCCCTTCTTTGTGTTCTGTTCAATACAGAATGCCGTCTTGGCGGTTGCAGTTAACGCGCAGAGCACCCTTTTGGCGAGTGCAGATTCGGGCGGAACCGTCATTCTCTGGAGAAGACTTGCCGCAACCAACGCGACTTGAGACAGTGCACCCGTCCACCTATATACATATATATATATCTTTAATTTGGACGAATATATCATATATTTTTCCTAGAACCTGCATAGGTACACGGATTCGTGCAATATTTGTTGCCCCTGTCTAGAACGGTGCCTCTTTCAATGTGCGTCCCTTTATATGCGTACTCACAAGTTTCACATGTTGCCGTGTACAGCTACATATCTCTGCCTCGTGGGTGCAATAAATCCAACTCTTTGCTGTAGCCCGCGACCCCGGCGCCAACGCTCGGGATTCCAAGCTGCCTAGCATCTGCAACTTTCTGCAATAGTCATTTAGTTGCTGCGCCGCCTCTTGGACAGAGTAGACAAATGAAGGCAAGAGATACTAACAAGAGGGTATGGAGTTGATATCATACTCATGTACGGCAATGATCCTGTTGTACACAGGAAAATTTGCTTTCTGTTCAGCGTTAAAGTGCCGCGCATCTCATAGTCTCTTTTCCTGCCCTGCATTCTGCTGAAGCCAGACCAACCGTTTGTAAAAGCCAGACCAATCGTTCGTAAGACAGAGTAAAAAGACGACAGACGGATGATGCACCAAAGAGAGCCACCAGCGGTGAAAGGGCGCAGAAGTGCTACTGGATGCGAGCGAAAGACTTCGCAAGGCAGAAAACGAAATATTTGGAACATTTGGAAAGTTGGGGGGTCGCCAGGAGAATCCTGGGCAGTTTCGCGCTCTACGAGGAGCTAATAAAAAGGGCAACAGAACAAGGCAAAAACTTTCTGCATTATTTAGAGTTATGGCTGAAAAACGTTCACTGGGCACTTTGGTTCTTCTTGGTTGGGAGCTTTCACATTCTTCTTCACAGCCCGCTGACGTCTCTCTGCTTGGAGGGGGAGAAGGTGGCACCCTGTCGCGCCTCCTCTACAATGCATCTAAAAGAAACTGGTTCAGTCTGAGCGATCGTGGCTAGGGACTTTCTGTCCAATGCCACGTTTTGGCGTCTTAAACCGCACATGAGCCAACTGTAGGGCAACGACCACTCCCTCGCCGCTGCGTTCATGTGTTGCACCCACAGCACCCTATAGCGGCGGTAGCGCTGCTGACGCTGCAAATAAGAACTCAGCAAAGACTTCATTGCCCGGATACGAGCCAATTTGAAGCAGGAACCCGAGCGGCCACGGAAGCCGCGGGCGACCTCAAATACGACTGAACGCGGAATCTTCATCGTGCCGGTTGTCGGGTTTGGAAAGCGGAGAAGCAGTGCAAGATCCCGAAAGAGGAAGAAGTAAGATGCAGCGGATGGAATACGCTATTCCAGTGATGTAGAAAGACCCAGGAAGGAGCTGGGGGTCTTCTGTGCAGGTTGTGTTGCCTGCGCACACGGTGTTACAGCCCCTTGCTTCTAGTTGCCTAGTTCGGCACTGAGCAGTGCACGAAGAGGGGTTATACTTCTTTATTTACACCCCTTGGATGTCGGAGGCGGAAAACCTGCCCATCGTTGGTCCTTCTCGGTTGTAGTCCTCCGAGTGGGAAAATTGCAACGCATCAAGACGATTGGTCTCTCTATAGCCTTCGGCGTTACTTCCAATTTGAAAAGAAAATGCACTGATAGGGGAATAGCGGCTTGTCATTACTGTATTGTTGAAGAAGCAACAGACGCTCAGCCCCAGAAAGGCCCGTCTGTTCACTGCGTCATCACCGTGTCGGCGGCAGTGGTGCGGAGAAAGAACCAAGAGAAAAGAATATGAGCGTCCCTATCGAATACGTGAAAGCGCCGCCATCGGATTGACAAGCAGTGTATAAGAAAACTTAGCAAGAACTAACCCGAATGGAAGAGAGAACATCTCACTAAACAGAAACTGCAGCCCCGCGTAGCTAACCCGACAGCTCACGGAGAAGGAGAAAGAACTCGGGAACTTGTGGTGCTCTTCTTTGCTGTTGCGTGAGCACCTTTTGTTTTTTGAAAGCTGACAACGTGAATAAGTATTGTCTTTATCTCCATTTCTACCCCCAGGCAGCGCAGGGGCCCTCTTGTCGGACCCGACAAGTCTTGCGATCTGCTGTCAATGTTGCACTAGAAGAGCATCAATCCACAAGAGGGCAGAAATCACGCGGCAGTAGCGGCTGCAGGGAGGGCTGCACACTCGCGGAGTCGACTCATGCGGCACCATTATGAGCAGCGGCCAGGCAGGGATCAGCCAGGGCAGAACCAGTAGAGGCTGTATCAGCTGCAGCACCTGGCAGATGCGCAACATGAGTTGCAGCCTCCCCTTTTATGCTACATTCTTCACAGAATCTTCTACCCGCCTGCAGATTTGGACGTCCTGAAACTCGGAACCCGCACAGCGCATTTGACCACTCGAACCTTCGCCAATCGAAGTAATTTGGCTATCTGGAATTTCTTCCTGCTGGAAGTGAAAGCTCTTCTTGGTCTTGCGCGCGCTAAAATACCAACTGGAGGGAAGTGCGGGGCCCTAGGTGTGCCTGCCACCCCTCCTCAGGTGATCAAGACGCAACGCTGCAGCACCAGGAGTTGTAGTAGCAATAGGCAGCGAAAACAGTAATCCTGCATCCTCCAAGCCCTGTTCCGCTGTGACCGCAAGCAGCAGCCACAGAAGCAGCTTCTCCTCTGCCTCCTTAGAGCACCAATTACGATCTCAGCGACCAAAACAGCAGCATACGACTAGGAGCTGCAGCAGCAGCAGGCCTAGGCAGACAAGATTGCGCTATGGGCTGTGGCTTCAGCTCTGGTGCGTATACACATATTTTTGGTCTGAGCCATGTCGGTGTTTATGCCTCCTTAAGTGGTAACTTACGCCTGGCACTCTTTTTTGCCGTGCTCCTTGTTTGTGTGTGTGTATGTGTATGTGTTACAGCGCACTCTGCGCAGGGCGACCCGCAACTGAAGGTCCAAAATGCCACCCAGTAAGCTCTCAAAAGCGGCAAGAAGAGCACTAGCAGCGACATCAGCATGAGGAATTCTGAATCCTACCAGTACTAGAACCAGCAAATGCGCGCAAAATTAGATGTGTTGGATTGCTCGTTGTGTGATGCGCAGAGGGACTTCCTCATCACGTCTGAGTTTGGAAGGAAAGATCGTATGTGACCCCACATGCTTCCCAGTGCATAAAGACAAGCCTTCCCACCGTAAACGCGTTTGAAGGCCCTTTCAGGCTTCCACATTGCATTTAGAGGGCGTTTTTTTGCTCGCTCTCCCTTACACCCGAAGCCTTTGCTCTTGTGCACAGGACCCCCCCTGGCGCGATCGCAAAGTCTTTGCTTCTTTTCGCGCTTGTTTGGTTGGTGTAGGTGCTGCTTGGAGACAGCGGCGTAGGGAAGAGCAGTTTAGCCCTGCGCTTCTGCAGAGGCCGCTTTCCACTTTACCACGAAGTGACGATTGGTGCCGCCTTCCTTCAACAAACTGTTAGGCTTGACCAGGGTCCGTTGCTGTGGTAGCCACTGTCGATCATGCAGGCTTTGGTATTCGTGCTTGCTTATGACGGTCTTGAAGCGCTGGTTGTGTTACTGGCGGCGCTGTTGTTGCTCTTGTGGCAACTGCTGCTGCTGCTGCTGCCCGCATGCTGCCTGCCTGAGGAGTTTTTCAGTGAAAAGCCAAATTCCCCCATTTCTCCGATGCTTTAAGAGAACTTCGTGCCAGTGCTGCTTAGCGTTGCGCTGTTGCGCCATCGATTGTCTCTGGACTTTCCGTAGTAGACTGCAGCACTGGTGCTTCGTTAGCTGCTGGCACCATGAATACAGCGATCTCTTTGGTTGTTTCTGCTGTTACGCCTCCTTCAGGCAATCAGCTGAAGCTGCATATCTGGGATACAGGAGGCCAGGAACGCTTCCGCGCAATGGCACCCCTCTACTACCGAGACGCTGCTGGAGCTGTTGTGGTCTATGACATCACGTTAGCCTCGCCTACCCCTGCTGTGGCTGGTTTTGCTGCCACGACTGCGGCTGTTGCAGCTGGTTCCGCTGCTTTTGCGTCATGGCAGCGGCCTCTGCTTGCTTTGAGGCGCAGAAGATGCGTTTTTCGTTCAAGACACCACGAGCGGGAGTGCGGCTCGGAGTGCTGTTGCGCTGCAGGGCGCCCTCCTCCCTGGAGGCCGTCAAATTTTGGACAAAGGAACTGCGGCAGCATCTTGACTACTGCAGTATCACTGTGGCAGCTAATAAGTACGACTTGCTGGAGGTTTCCGCTGAGGGAGGGCTCGAGGAGCAGCAGCAGCACCACGAGCCAACGACTCTTCCTGCTGCTGCCGCCGTCGAAAATGAACAGGACCGGAATGACTTAGTTGAGATCATGCGAGGGGTTGAGGTAAATCTTTATTACTCTTACGGTTCACGTGTTCATGGCTGCTTTCGAATGCGCAAAAATCTAGGTTTGAGGGCATACAGCTGCTGTGTCTGAGTTGCCCAGGAAGTCAAGAAGTACTGCTCTGCTAACCGCTTCGAGTTTATTGAATGTTCTGCAAAGGTGCGCAGTAGTAGCAGCAGTCCCTATGGCTACAAAAGCCAGCAGCACGTTGCTACCTTGGCCCCACAATGAGGTTGGAGCACTGACAACCGAAAAGTGTATTTTCGTAGAGTCTCTTTTTGACTGCTCATGGTATTTTGAAGTGTGCTGGTGTGGCTGCTGCGTTTGCAGACGGGGCAGAACGTCAATCGGCTATTTGAGGACTTGGGTATGATATACAGTTCCATTCTCTGTTGGGTATTGGAAAACCCGTGCACTGAGTTGTAAGATTTATGGCGTAGGTTTTTTATTGAGGATAAGGCACGATGACCAGCGAGCGAGATAGATGACGCTGTGCTCCCCCTGTTGTGCCGCAGCCCGCAATGTCTTTGCACACCTGAAAGACGCTGCCGCTGTAGTAGACCTGTGAAGCGATACGAGAATGCTGCTGCTACAGCTGCAAACGAACTCTACGGAGCTGCAGCTGCCTGTGGCGGCCACTGTTGGTGCTGCTACGCCAGCAAATGCAGAGAGGAATGCTGCTGCTCCTCTCTTCAAGGGTTGCTGCTGGTGCGTCCGTCTCTCCCACAAGGCAACCCGCGCACGCTCCCCAGCCACCATGCAGTATATAGGACCAGTAATTGACGTGACGCAGGACTCCACAGCACGAAACGGCAAGGAGCAACTCCCTAAGGGGCACCTTCGCAGCAGAAGGTGCCAGCCCTCCCCGTTTTGCCCCGAGAGCCACCAGCAGCAACTGGAGCTTCTGTCTCGGCATTTCCCCTTTTTTCATGTACTACGTAGGAGTGAGTGACGACAGCTTCCTGTTGAGTCTTCTCTAGTTGAGGCTTTTGCTTGCTGCCCCCACATTTCCCCACACGGATGTTACGCTAGCACGTATGCTGCTGCTACCCCACGTGCCCCTTGAAGGGCTTTTTGCGCCGCCGAAAATTTTTCCCTCCACTCACTAAGTTCGGCAACCTCACAGCCTTGCAAGAGCCCTCCTAAAATTAATGCCCCCTTGATGTGGCAGCATAGGCCCTAAGTAGACCCACTCATACACCATAGTGACCTCCACGGACGCCTCTTCATGACTGCCTGCCTGTACCCCGGTTTCTCCTGCGTCACGTTTCCTCCCCTTAGCAACAGCCAGCCTCATTCTAAACTGCCTCCTCCCCTCACATTCATATTACCGCTCTGCAAGCCAGGGGCCTCTACAGAGACAGCTTGGGGCGTCATGCACTTCAAGAGACTGCACCCTAGATTCAAAAACTCTAGCTGCGTTCGCTAGATGACGTCCCTCTTGTAAGAACAGTTAGCAGCCCCCCGTTGGACTTTCTGCAAAAGCTCATGTTGATCCGAGTGCTTTGCAGCAAGGCAACAGCTTGGAGCAACGTGCAAGAAACAAGAAAGGCCTCCCCGTCGGTTGACACGCCCCCGACCTCTTGCCTTCAAATGGCACCGTCTTCTCTGAGCACAGCCGGTGGCTGTGGCCTATCCCTCCAGTTGTACAGAGTCATGCATGCGTAGACGTACATAGAGATACGTGGGGTAGACCAAGGGGCTATCTCCAAGTCAGGGCTTTCAGGAGCGCTGATGCATTACTTAGGGTTCTTGAGAATAAGGATGACGGCGTCTCCCCTGAGGAAGAGCTTGGATATGAATCTGTCCCTGTTCACGACCTTCTGCTTCCTTTTGCCGCCCCCCCTTGACACCTCACTCCACATTTCTCGCACATCTGTAAGGAGCAGATTGCAGTGCCTGTCGAACGCCTTCACTCGCGCCAACAACTTTCTGTTGTTGCGGCAGTTGATCAGCACTTGGCTATTGTCCAATACGCAGCGAGATAAAAGAGTCAAAGGTCCGCCCTCCTGAGCCACAACAGTGCAACGAAAATTGCAAACATAGAGGTATGCTGCTTGTTTCTAACGCTGCCTGCAGCCCTGGAACCCGATGCATACATGGCTGGCACACACACAACGGCACGACCCCTGGACTGCATATTGACACACAAATCAGTCAACGCCATGAACTGAAAAAGCTACTACGGGTTGGGAATGCAAGGAGTACTTACGGGGTTATCGCGGTTGACCATAAGGGCTGCGCCCTTGTCGCCTTCAGCCGCTGCCATTGTGCGTCACTAGGGTTCGGTGCGTCTGTCTCTGTGCAGAAAGCCGACATAGCACATCATGGACCTATGAAAACACATTGTCAGCTCATGAAGCTGGGGCAGCAAAGCCCCAAGTCGAAGTCCTACACTTCGGAAAAAACTCTTCAAAACTCGGCGATTGCACGGCGCACAGACAGACGCTCGGGGAGCCCTGAGCCCTCCGCCCATTCGACTGCCAATGCCATCAGTGCAAGTGGCCCTCTGTTGGGTACCTCTGTACAGGCGTCAACGCGATACATATGCATAGTGAGGAGGGGCATGCAGCAGGGCGATTATGGGGGCTTCTGAAAGCCAATGAAGAGGCAGCATCCGGTCCCGCGTGTTAGTTCCACTCACTTGAAAGAGCTGTAAGGCGATCGTTACAGTGCACTGCAGTGCAAGAGCGACACGAGAGAGTATGCCTCCAGCGCGCTGACACGTGAGGCGCGCGGGGTTGATACGGTGAAGAGGGGCCAAGGCTGCAAAAGGAAGAAAGAGGAGGTGTTCTTCCCGTTCCTCTTATTGTTGCACTTATAGATTTGCAAGAGTTTTTCCTTGAAAGGAGAACAAGAGGAGCAGCAGCGCCAGGGGAGGGGAATCTGCAAACAGCATCCGCCATGGCAGCCCCCCAGCTTAACTCGCGGGGGGCTGGGGCCTCGCGTAGCTTCTTGGTTTGCGTTTTTGCTGCTAATCCTTTCCTTGTATGCTCTAAGCCATGGATTCTAAGCGATGAAATAGCGTCATTTTCAGCTGAGCGGTCTGTATACGGCTGTGTAGGAAGCCTCGGGGATCGACTCGCTGGCCACGCTGCTTCTATCCACAAAATCCACGGGGTGACCTGCTGTCAAAGGTTTCCAGCAGAGCGTGTACAGACATGTGTGCGCCGTTAAGGTGACTCAAGGGCGGGGCATCTATTTCTTTTATTCCAGAGGAGAATGCCCTTGCTGCCCGCGACGTTCCTGCAACGTGGCTTTCACTAGTCGCTACCTTCGCCGTCTCTACTTTCCCACCTTCAAAACTCGAGAGGGAGAGAGAGAGAGAAAAAGCCTGGGTAAAGGAGCGATATGGTGGCAGCAAGTAGTTCACGCCGTTTGTCACAGCCAAAGACGTCGGACGCAGCAGCGACGTCGTCCTCTGGAGAAGAAGAAAAGGGAGCTTTTGAAAGGGTCAGGAACAAGGGCCGAGCAGAGAGGCAACAGGCACAAAGTCTGCACTGTGCAAAAAGAAACACAAGCGCAGCGCAGTTTCACCGAGAGAAGCTCAGCCTTTCGCGCTTTCCAAGCTCCTCACAAAGCTCTGCCCAGCAGCCCCAGTACCATCCACCGTCTGCCTATTTGGCGAGGCTCTAGGCTACGGCCTGTACCGCAGCATGGGAGTCTCCCTGAGGGAAATTACAGTCTACGATTTACCAGATAAGATATGCCTCATCGCCCTTAACCCGCAGTACCACCTCCAATCACAACAGGCAGCTTCTGCGTCAAGTGGCAACGGTACTGACTGCGGAAGCCTTAGAGGTCACTGCTGCAGCTGCACATGCTTCGGCCGTCTGCTGACACTCAGGAAGGCTGTGCTGAGTCCAGCAGCAGTGGTAGACGCCACCAGTAAGAGCAAGAGCAGCAACGTCGACGACACCTACAAAAACGACAGCATCACTGACAAGCCCCATGGCAACAATCGTGGCAACAGCAGCAGCCTCGACAGCGGCTTCATCCGCTGCGAACAGCACTGCCTTTCTACTGCAGGAGCGTTCCACTCAACGAGAGACATGCTGCGGCAGCAGGAACGCATGTACGTACTACAGCTGCAGCAGCAGAGCCACAACGCAGACTTCCTTCAGCTGAGGCTGCGACCACACAACCAGCAGCAGCAGCAGCAGCAGCAGCATCAAGGCGCTGAATCTGATGTCTCGGGCAGCAAAAGAAGTAACGACGACGCAAGCCTCATTCTGACAGACTGCCATACTCTCCAAAGCAGTATCGAGAACGGCAATTGCAAGGCCACTGGGGGGATCTGTGGTTTGAATGCGTGCTGCTGTTTTGCTGCCTTTCGCATTTTCGGTATTCTAGGCGCGATTCGACTCCTCTGCGGCTATTATCTTTGCGTCGTTACACACAGAACCACAGCTGGTGCCCTCCCCGACATAGCTGCAGCAGCAGCGGAAGAGGGGTTAGACCCTCTACCCGTCTTTGCCCTCGAGGGTGTGAGGCTTATACCCCTGTTTACTTGGCAGTGGGGGGACGCTGTGCAGCTTCACCACGCTGCGGCAGCCGAAACTGCTGCCGCTACTGCTCTTGAGCTGCAGCAGCAAGTCTTCTACAGTGGGAACCACTCGGGATGCCCTCGAGTAGGAGTGTGTTGCAGAACTGCGGGCGTTGATTTTGGAGAGGTTCAGCTTCGAGAAGCCTCAGGACAGGATGGCACTACTAAGGGCTCAGCCTCTCCCCCTGAGTTGTTTGAGCTGCAGCAGCAGCAGCAGCACTTCAGTGGGCTGCAGCCGCAGCAAATAGCCGACTTTAGGCGGATTCTGGAAAGGGAAGCAAAGCTTTGCTACCTGCTGCTCTCTGGTTTCAGCACGTCCACACACTCCCTTCTCTTCTCTGAACACATCGACCTCACGCTTTCGCTGCAGCAGCAGCTGCAGCTGCAACAGATCCAGAAGCACCAGGACCATCCGGTAAGATCTTGCATCACATGCGGCAGCAGCAGCAGCTCGAAGGCACTCCCACGAGGCTCTGCAGGGCACTTCGTTTTCAACAAATTTCTGCTGCAGCAGCTACACCAAAAGGCGAGTTCTGCTGCAGGACCATCTCCCTCATGTGCTCCATGCGATGGTGACAGCCGCAGTAGCAGCAACCCCGATAGCTGCACGGCTCGCCACTGCTGCAGCGGCTGCAGCTGCTGCTGCTGCACGCCAGCGGGGAATGGCTGCTGCTTTTCTGCGTGGCAGACCATAATAGTCCAAGGAGGACTAAAGCAGCAGACGATTGCTATCGCCCCTCAGCAGCAGCTGGAACGGCAACAAGAAGAACAACAAGGGATTCAATTCTTCCAGATATCCGTTCTGGCGCGGCGTTCGCAGTTTGCTGCTGGCACTCGATTTTACAGCAGGGGACTGGAGCGGCCTCCTATCTGCGCAGACGCTTTTTCTGACTGCATTTCCACTACCAGCAGCAGCTTCTGCAGCAAGCCTTTGGGTGTTGCGAACGAAGTTGAATGTGAGCAAATGATCTGGAGAGTGCTGCCGCCTCAGCTAAAGGCGCCAACAGCAGCTAGAGCCTCAACACAGGCAGGTGAAGGGGCAGCAGCTGTAGCAGCAGCACCTGTGCAGACATGCGTTACTGAGTCTCCGCCTCGTGATCTGTGTGAATCATCAGTCCCAGAAACAACGGCTCCTCCTCAGCAACACCCAACATCGACAACAGCTGCAACTGCAAATTTAGCAGCAGCGGCAGCGAGAGCAGTGGATGCGGCAGCAGCAGCTGCATCTCGTCCTGCTGAGTCTTATTGGCGTTTTGCGTCCACCTGCGCGTCTGTCGTTTTCGTGCGTGGCTCTATTCCGCTCTATTGGCGTCATGAGAATGTCTCAAGCGCCTTGCTATCATTTTGGATGCCTTCCTCTACCACGTGTATAGATTTGTCGGCACCCGAGGTACACAGCTACTTGAAACAGCACTTCCACTGGCTGCTGCAGCGCTATGAGCAACCTCTATTGCTGGTAGATCTCGTCCGGCAAAGCCACCCTGTAGAAGGGAGGCTAAGCACGGCATTCCGGGAGGCCCTGGGCCTCTGCGTTGATGAATTCGCCGTCCATTTACACCTGAGTAAGGAGAGCAGCAACTGCAACGGCAACAGCAGTTTCGCTCCCGAAGGGAGCACTCCAGGATGCACATCCAGTGGCTCCTCCACAATTGCTGACGAGGGGGTTGCTGCGGACGGAGGCAAGGCCGCACACCAGGAGCAGCAGCGGCCATTGCCACATGTCAAGTACTACAATTTGGATTGGCACGCCCGTAGCGAATCCGTGGGATTTGATGCGGTGTTTGCTGAGCTCGGACTCCTCAGCTCCCGGCTGTTGGAGCAAACAGGTTTTTTCCTTTTCCAGCATTCGCAGCAGCTGCTGCCACAGCGGCAGCAGAAGGGTATTGTGCGTTTCAACTGTATTGACTGCCTGGATCGGACGAATATTGCGCATGCCTGCGTCGGCATTGTTGCCCTGTATGTACACCTGAGGGCACTGGGAATCGTAAGGTCAGAGATGCCCTGCCCTCACCACTGCTTCGTGGCAGGTGCACATGAGGATGCCTTGAAGGCCACTGCGGATGGCTTGTTGGTACAACAAGACCAACACGCGAGACGCGTTTACGCAGAGAAGCTGCTGATAGATCAGAGCGGCTTGCAGCCAAAGGAGCAGCGACTGCAGCAGCAACAACAGGGCGGGGCCTGTCTTTCAGTAGTTGAAGTGGCAGCAACATCAGCATACGAGGAACTGGGTAGATTTGGGGAGTCGACCGTAGCTTTCCCCCCCTTTTCTCGGATGGCGGTTGATAAGACAGCAGGACCTTGTGCTTCCTCTGGTCCTACAACTGGACAAGCAGCTGCGGCTTGGCGTGTGCCTCCTGATGAACTGTTGCCTTCATCTGGTTACTATCACCTTTCAGGCACTACCGAAGCTGATCTAAGCCCCCCTGCAGCTCTTGCGTCGCAGCTAGGGTTCAGAAATGAGTCGGGGCTTGTGGCTGTTCTAGGAGATCTTTGGCGAGGCATAGGCGACCACATCTCCATTCAGTACGCAGGGTCGCCTGCACTGCATGCAGCGGAATTTCTTCTGGATCGTGCCACTGTTGCCACTCCACGCGGTCTTCAGCAGCAGCAGCCCGAGCGGCGGTTGTTGCCAGAGAAGACAACGCGCGGCAACGCAGCATCAGCAGCGGCCTCAGAGTGGGAAAAGGTGATAACAGGCATGCGGTATCGGCCGTGGACTGCACACTCCAGGGCGAACGCTTTCTATGCTCTGCAGAGGTGTGCCAAGTTGTCTGCTGCTGATGATATTTTAGCATGTAGCTAGGGAAAAGATTCACGTGGTTGCTGTGTACAGGCTTTTGAAACTTGTAGATTTTGTTATAGTATTGAGGGCAGAGTGGGCAAGCCAAGGAGATTCCATTCAAATACTGGAACTCTAGTGTTGTGTACACAAATTGGTGCAGGATCTTCCAAAAGTTAGCTCTGCAGATGGGCGTACGATGCACAAGAAAACTGCCTAGGCAATGCGTCGTGGTTTTTCGTTTTTGCTTCCTTTATGTCATTTCCTGCGTTTTGCATGGTGGCCGTTTTTCAGCTCTGCCTTGTGGGGTAGTGATGCTTTTTCGTATTCTTGTTGCGTGCTGCTCTTTATTTTGAATCTCGGTACTGCATGCGGATTTGTGTTCTCTATTGGTTCAGCTATTGCAAGCTGCGAAGGCAGGGTAGACCCGGATACCTGATCATCTAGTTTAGTTCATACTCGTTTGCGTGTTTCGGTCTTACACCTTTCGGCGGTGTATACAATTGTGCACACTGCAAAACCCTGGCTTGTGGCACGTTGCAGATATGTGAGCAACAAGGTCTTCGATACTGAAAGGCAAAGGGCTATCTTCTTACTAACCGGAGCGTTTAGGCCCTCTCTAAACGGTCCTGACATATTTTCACTAGATTGTTCTCAGCAGCAGCTTCCTTCACACTTGCGATCAGCAACATCTTCAGTGCCCACAGGAGACGGAACCAACATGGCAGGAAATGCTACGAAGTGTGCAAAACAATCTGATTTTGCAATAACGCCCACCACTGGCGCGAGTTACTCGACAACAGCCTCAGAAGAGCCAATTTTAATACAGGCGAGAGTAACAGAAACGGCAAATGCAGCAGCAGCAGCAGTGGCAACAGCACGGCAGCGGGGCAGCAGAGACACTTTTGAGGCTCAGTAACTCTCCTCGAGTTCTGGCGCCAGGCTAGCGATGTAAGTCCACTAGCTTGAACGTATCAGTTGTTTCAATTCAGGATTGTACCTTTAGACTGCTGCTACTGTGCATGCCAGTCTCTTCTGCTTGCCAGAAGGCTTCAATCTAGAATCTAGTGTGCAGCAGTGCCTCTCCGTTCAAGGGCCCTTTCGGCGGCCTTCAAAGCGCCTTCATCTGTCTGTCTGGCAGAGGGAGAGACCCTCATTTTTTGTAATCTTTCCTTGGCTACACCCAACCGATGTTGACGAACAAATCGCCCACGTCGTCATTCGGGCGTACATATGCTAACTATATTTTCCTGCATCGATGAATGTATGCGAAAGCTTCAGAAAGAACATATGAGTATATATTTAATCGAGATATCACTTTCTTCCTCCCAGACATGCAAACGTTCGATTCAGTTTGAGGTGATGCCGCGCAGCAGTCACACATGCGTCGCGAGACGTGTCCATCCCCTTCCTTTATTGGATGCACTTACGTGCAACAATGAGTTCTAGGTGCATGTATATCTGCTTACGACTCCTTGATTCTGCCTATAAATCATAAGGAAGAAGGAGCCTTGCAGTCAAGATACGGATGTATGGAAAGGAACGGAGTTCAGGCCCACTGACATCATCCCTTTCTGCTCAGTCACGTGTTTCTACACGCAACTGTTCTTCAGTGTGCGTCAGCAGAAGCTTTGATGTTCGTCTTGCCTCTCAACATTAAGAATAATATAGGGCGAGGTAAGTGTTTGCGAAACGCCTGGGCCTAAGCTCCTTACCTCTGCATTAATTAACCCATGGTCGTTCGTCGGTTCCCTATCCCACCGGTAAATATACAATTTGCCAAGTGCGTAGAAGAGCAGCCAGCATGGCTGGTGTAAGTGCAGCTTTGGCATCACTGAACTCCGCCACCTATGACACGCACCTTGGGCTATTTGGTCAGTATGGAGTCTCTCCTGCGTCTTGTTAATGTAACAAAACTACAGCTCCTCTGCTGCCTGGTGTAGAAAGTCAGCATTTGATTCGCGCACATCTTGTCAAGAGTCGCCAATACTTATATTGTGGCTCTATATATATATATATATATATATATATATATATATATATATATATTTCGGAAACCCTCTCAAGCCTTTACTAAATAGGTCATGTGTTGCTGGCCAATATATTCCTCCTGGTATGTTCCCACTATGAAATTTGAAACGCAATACAAGGTCCATGCTTTAAGGCAGCTTTTTTGTCTCCTCCCAAAAGTGGCTGGCTCCCTCCTTCCCTTTAGGAAATGAGGTTCTTGGCCATAGGTGCGGAAAGATATGTGAAGTTAAATTGCTGCGTATTCTGAGCAGTCTGGGCATTCGCACACCCTTGTGTACATTAGCTTCGCACAGGTGCATGGGGTATCCTTGTGTTGGCCGAATTAACCCTGATCTGCAAAAAATTGACTGGGAGCCGCCAATCTGCGATATAAACAAATACACAGGTACTACCGAACTACCTTACGTGTAATTATGGTCAATGCATGTACAGCTTATGCCTCCAAAGGCTTGACTTGAGAGGCTGTGGGTTCCGACTCGTTGCGGCCGTGCTTGCTTATTTGCCCTAATACTTCTTATTGTGGGCAGTCGTCAAATTGCCGCCGCTAGCATCTCTACGGATAACAGTCATTTTGTCTGGTGCAGCATCTTGTCAATGGAGTGCCGGTGAAGTTTATTCACAGCATGGAAACTTATCTCGGAGTTTAATTATGTCTTGCACAAATGCTCTTTCACTTGAGCTGAACAGCTTCAGGCTCAGTATATTTTTTTCATAGCGCGATCTTACTGGCTTTCACCTAAGCAGAGCGCACAGCTTTCAAGAAAGTAATATGCATTAGCGGCAGATCGTTTCCATCCGTAACTCACCACGCCGCTTCAGTCTGCAGCAGCGTGTAGTATGAGCCACTGCCCAGTGCAGTGGCTCAAGAGCTAACACCAGGAAGCAGAGCTCTTTCTTGCCGTTTAAGAGCTTATTTTAAGCTTCTGTGGTATGTCTATGCTTCCATAAATGCATGCACAAAGTCATTTTGTCGCTGTTTGGCGGACTACATTAGATGATTCCAGGATTCCTATCTTCGTCGGGCTTTCCAACGCAAAGTTTCCAATGCTTTTGATTGTGGATCTGCTTAGGGAATGGAATGCAGGGGTTTTAAGCTATTATTCACTGCGAGGCCTCCCTATCGGTCCAGCAATGCTGCTGATAATAAATTTTGCTTACGTATGCCGAAAATTCGGCTTTTCCTTACAGCTTGTATAAGCATGCGGTAGCGATTGAAAGGCTGGACTCCTGAGCATGTTCCTTCTCTGACACCCCTCCGTCTCGCTCCCCAGCATAAGCAAGTAGCTTATTTCAAGCTGTCTTCATACTCTAGGTTCATGTTCAATATGCTGAGAGTACGCTAAAATGCTCTCTTTGTTTATTGGCAGAGTCCTTGGCAGTAGGTGCTATTCAACAACTTAGACGCTTCCAGCACGAACAGAATTTGCACCAGCCGATCATTCCAACGAAAAATCAGTGAACTAGTAGAGGAATTAATGGAGGAATGAATAGACGAGGTTTTCAAAACAGCCAGCATAAACCAGATTATTTGCTCTACGCTAGTTGTAAAACCCCTTCCCTTCTTCAGTCAGGCGAATGACTCTCTTCGCCTGGCTGTCAGGATATCTAAATTGTTTTTTATGCTTGCAAAGCGTGTTTCCTTGGACAAAACAAAAGCAGCCCATCAAGGAGGCGTTATATGAAGAGCCCGCAGTTCGACTTCCTTCTACGGCAACAGATGTTCTACAGATAGCATGAACGAATTACACTTGTTTAAAATTAAATGTACCTTTTAGAAGGACCACTCGTTAAAAAAACGATGTTGACTATGCTTAATCAGCACACTGCTCCGGAATGACGCCCATGACCGCTTTTGTCGAACACCCAGACGTGAGTAGTAGCGGCTGCACCTAGGCGGTGAACGTACAAACCAAGCGTATACGCAACTCCTAGAGGATTTGAATGGCTTATTAGCGTGCCTGGATGGGACACTAGCTGGCTTTCTACGGTTACACTAATTACGTGGCCGCCTCAAGAAACATTTATTCATCCATACGGCCCCAGAACTTGGCCTTCGGATTGTGTACAGGCATTGTAGCTTACATGAAGTATTGCCTAGAAAGTTTTGACTTGCTTATATATCGAACGAGACATTACTTGCTCTGTTGATCTAGGCTACGCCAGCTAACTGTTAGCCCCCTGTGGCTTGGCTGCTGGAAATCTGTTTTGATGCAGCATGACAGTTGGAGCTGGAAATCTAAGGCCTATGTAGAAAAAAGCGTTAGTCTCTTTACTTGCTTCAGTACGGTTTGCTGCAAGCAAACCTTACGTGTACCGTAAAGTACCATCGTCACGCCGAAAGCGTGAACACCCATGGAAAGCTTGCAATCAAGCCTATTTAAGCAGCAAATTTGGACAAAGACGTTTTTCCTCCCTCATCTTTGTCGAAGTCACTACTATCGTCTGCCACCAACGCTGGTGTCAGAAGATGCTGGAGTTCACGGCGCTCAACCCCGGTGAATTGCACGGACTGTCCCCTTCGTCTCGTAGGCACAATAACATTCGCCTGACCAGCATCAGTGAACGACTGTTGATGTAGTCGCGTAGAAGAGGAGACTCTATGCAAGCTTCTACGGGGAGGTGGCTCTAGGAACGGTTGAGAAGGTCTCATATTCGAACGCCTTGGAGGCGCATTCGCAGTAGGATGCGTAGTGAACGGATATTCGTTTGATAGATATCCAGAATCAGCACCCGATACCATGGAATAGCGCATCGTGCTGCTGGAGCCTGCAACTGGGATTTGCGGAGCTGCACCAGATGCTGTTAATCCAGTTGTTGAGTCTGGCTCACTTCTGCTAGATGCTCTGCTATCACATTTCCCCGTGAAAGAGGCTCTAGCACTGTCCCGCAAAAATAGAGTATTCTGTCCCTCTTGACTAAGCTGGGCAGCAGAAGCTTTACCTAGCGTGCCAGTGTGATCGCTAGCTGTTCTTGTATGGTCTTCTGCTAGGCTGATAATATACTCACTGACTGTACCTCGGCGCACTGACTTTGGCCGTTCCCTCTGCGAATGGTGATCAAGCTTCTCGTCCTGAAGCAAACGACTTTGGCAAGTACGCCTACTAGATGAAGAGCTAATTTGTTCACTCTCGTTGTTTCTCGGTGATTGTCCTCGAACCGCACGCTTCAAAGCACTTTTCATTCTTTCTTTGGGCTGTGACAGCTTGGGTGGACGAGCAAATGTACCCCTGCGTGACAGTGCCGTACTCATGCGAACGATTGAGCCACCACCCTTAATACCACGTTTTCGACGGAGAGTACTGCGCCGGTGATCTGTCCTTTCCGATCTCCTTGCACAAATAGGGGCTGCCGTCTCAAGAAGAAATAATAGGTGCTTCATGTACATGAGCTGCTCTGTTGCAGTGTTGCGCTCCAGAAGCCTCCGAGTTCTCCAAAAGGCTTGAATGTTCAATGCGGCAAGGTAATGTAAGACAGTAAACTCCGATGCTGTACCAGAAATGTCGCTGAATCGTTTCATCCAAGTACTGACAAATCGTGGGTTAAGCTCCACCGCTTGTCGCTGCTGCAACAGGCCTACCACAATGGGCGTTTCCTTGTTCTGGGCGTGTGCCTCGCAAGCGCGGCATGTGGTAGTGAGTACTACGTCTCTGATGTGTACGCTGTTGTTGCGTATAGGAAGGGAGTAGGCTGCCAAACTTGCAAGAATCGCATGCATACGTCGACTTCCCATTTCACAATAGAGGTTCTTATAGCCGATAGGTGCTGGGATCTCCGTGAGCACCTGCACAGCTACGTGGATTGGAAGCCAGCTAAGCTTCATTTCTCGTAGCCTCCATTTGTTCATCAGCTCGTTGTGCTGCTGCGCCACTTTCCAGAGCGATTGGTTTCGCTTTGCGTCGACATAGCCTTTCAGCACCGTGCTCATGAACACATTCATTAGTAATAAAAACGCCACAATAGTGAACGTGACTGAATACACCATAATTGACCACCCCAGGACTGCATCACCCTCTTTATAGTAAAATGCCCGTCCCTGAAGCATAATATCGTGCCAGTTTTCTCCGGTACAGCAGGACATCAGGAGTAAGATACTGTCGAGCAGGGAAGCAAAGGTGAAGTGTAGCTTCGGGTCGATGGGTGCATCGTAGAACAAACATGTACCCAGCAGCCCATAAAAAAGAATAATTCCTCCAAGGACCAGCAGGACTCGACGAAGAGCAGCAAACACATTGAGCATGGTGATTGAAATGACATGCATAACAGGTAGACGGTGGCAAATGACATACGCAACTCGAACCATCCTAAAGCCCACCGGCCACAGGGGTCCTGCAGGGAAAGCAGTATTCAGAGAGGTTGACAGGGCAATAATCAAAGCTACTAAGGACAACAGGGCAATAGCAAAATCAAAAACATAAATGCCTTTTTCAAAGAGAGACTTTCGCAAAACCAAGGCCCGAAAGCACTGCTCAATTATATATGCCACGACAAAAATAGCGTTTGCCCAGAAAATCCAGTTCTGGAAGCTAGGAAATCTCCAACGCAAGCTGGTCTCTGCCCATGCACCGGTTGCGGTCAAGGACAAGCACGAAGCAACGGAAACGATCGCTACAGCTAGGTCGACCTGTTTGCTCGCAATGATTTGGCTCAGCCAGTCTCTGGCTCCCAGCCCCTCGGCACGCATCATACCGCCTCTTCGTTTTGTCACTTCAGCTGCTGCACTTGAATTAAAGATAGCCCGCTGCACTTCATTCCAACGGAGAACTGTAGCACTCCGGACGCCACCTGTGTACTCCAGGTTAGCCTGCTCTTTTTCCAGCACGTCAACGATGACGCCAACAAACAAATTCATGACGAAAACACTTAGCAGGGCAATCACTAAAGAGCACAGTATAATTGTTAGAACGTGGTGGCGATCGCCCAGGTCCAGAATTCTTGTCAGTAGGCTTGGCCACCCTTCGGAAGTGGTAAGGATAAATACACTCAGAAAGCTCTCGCTAAGGGATGTGATGTTGGCATACGCCAAATACACAGATGGGGGTTCTCCTGCTACAGGTCCAAGCAAGTAGCGAAAACTGACAGCAAAACATGTGAGGAGTAAGACAAAAATGAAGCCTAAGTTCAGGATTCTGCGACCGGCCACCTGCATAGCGAGCACCAGTCTATGCGTCCCGGTCCCCTTCCAGAGGCGTAGTAGCCAGATGCATCGGAGAACTCTCGTGCACTGCGCAAACCTATACCAGGAGCTTTGAAACATCAGTTCATTCATTTTCCCTTTACTCACTGACAATGCCGCGATCAGCCAACACCACGCCAGAGCTTGAGCCACTGATTCTAAACAGTTACAGCGGGAACTAAAAAACGGAATACCTTCGCGGATGCTGCTTATGCCAAGCCGCAGAAAGATATCTGCTGTCAGTGCAAGTTGGAACCCCAGCTCCAGTATTGTGTGCATTTTCCAAGAAGTGATACTTTTTTTCATGGCGCATTCAATTATCAGTTCCACCAGCGAAGCTATTTGGAGCAAAAGCTGAAGCCAGCCAAAGCCGTTGATTCCGCATACATTCCGAAGATGCTTTAAGGCTGCGTGCCATTTTGCAAGTACGATATGCATCCAACTTGGCATCTGCCGCTCTGGTTTGCGCTGTTGCATGCCGGTGTGTGCCTGGCTGCGCCGCCGAAGCGTTATGCTGGTGGCTGATCCGGATTTACTTCTCAGTTCCGCTAGGGAACTGAACCCTGAGGTGTTAGCTGGGTTATCTCGCTGCACTGGAGAGCTGGTAGTGTGGGAATTTTGTTTACCAAAGGGATCACTCACCAAATGGCTTACATAAGCCATCTGCAATGCGACGCTGTGTGGGTCTATTGGTGTGATCTGTGCCAACCCCACTTTTGCCGCCTCAATTAATGCTATGCGCCCCTGCCTAATAGCGTCCCTAACTGCGCTCCAAAACATGCTGCATAGCTCCCGAAACTGCAGCTCCTCAGCTGATTTATTTTCACCTGCTCCAGGCGCTGCGCGACACAAAGACATATACTCTGAGCCATGCGATCTGCAAGCTGGTGGAAGAGAACGTGCTTTGCGGGGTTTCACCCCATAAAGGATATGTTCTTGCTATGGTGCAGGTATACTGTTGCAGCTACTACGTGGTGTAGACTGACCAGGGAAATGGGTATCATTGCCTCTAAATGGCTTTATTTTACGGTCTTAATGTGCTCACTAGCTAGACACGATTTCGAGCCTGCGCAAGAAGCGGGCATTGACCTAGTCTCATCACCTTCAACAAATTGTACCGCTGCCTTAGTGGCAATGTCCAGCTTCCGAGACTCGACTAACAGGTAGTCCAAATGCAACAGGGCACCTGAGTTATTAATACGTCCACGAGGAACAGTTTCTTCCTTGTTTTTTTCCAGTACTGCAATTGAGTGCCGGCCGGATATTCCAGACGTGGCAGTTACCGAGTTTTCAAGAGTGTGGTCCAGATCATGGCCAGCTACGGCCCTGTCAAAGCCTGTATCATTTATTAATCCTTTGTTATTGGGTTTGTCCGACAGGACGGGGATGTCGCTGTAACTCCGGCTGCTGTGTCTGTCTCCTGTCCATGAAATACTGCCGAAGCTGTTCCGTGTGGCCAAGCGGTTGCTCTTCAGAGCCACTCTCTTGCAAATATCGAAAGCAAGGGACGTTTTGCGCGCGAACTCCCCGAATGCCTTTGCAGATTTATCGTGATCTGACCCTGCAACGAAGCCATGTACCGAATAAAGGGAACAGTAGACCCGCATGCCTTTTGCCTAGATCACGCTATGCTGAATACCCTAAATAAGGAATATGCTGGCAATAGTTGTTTTCAAACAGCAGATGGCGTGGCCTTTCCGAAGCATTAGGCAGTATACCTAGCAGAATAGCCTTTATGAGCTCGTCTCGCTGAGCATCGGTGCTCATGTCTACGACTGCGTATAACGCCTGAGCGTTCTTGCCCTGTAAAGCATCTTCCGCAGGCATTTTAATGCCCGCATTTCGGCATGTAGCAATGAAGTTTGCAACGTGCTTCACAGTAAGGGATTTCTGAGTCCTTATAAATTGTCCAATCATAACTGCTCCATATAAGTTGAAGATTACGCAGTTCAACGCGAGTAATGCAATGTACAGGAAAGTGTTGATTGCTGTCACTCGAAATGCACCAGACAGAACAAAATCAGACAACTGCCCCGAATCAAATGTGAACTCAGTCCATTCTCTACCATACACCTGAGCGAATTCTCTGAAAAACAAATCCCAACCTTCGCCAGTCAAGATTGCTGCCAAAAGGAGTAGAGCATTGCCGGGGTTTTCGAAGTTCAGGTATTTCGTTACACTAAGGCTCGCTCCCTCTGAATGCACTGACAAATACTTGGAGTCAAAGAACAAGAACAACCCCAGCTGTGCCATCACAGCGCAAGAGTAGATGAGTAGTAGTACGTACGGAAGTAGCGCGCTGTGTAAAACCCAAAGCATCTCCGCCGTCATTCTGAGGGGTGGAAAATACTTCACCAACTTGAAGAGGCGGAAAGGGCGCATCAACGAGAAAACAACGCCTATTGACATCAAGACCCCATCAGTTTCTACCATTGTCGTTCTGCACCCAGACAGGTGCGGACACTTGGCCAGCGCATACACTCCATCTACCACAGTCAGGCATGCCATAAGAATGTCCAGGCAGATGAATCCGTCCTTGAGCCCCTGCCTGCCGAAAGCAAGCACTAGTACTAGTGCTTCGAACACAAACACCACGCTCGTGAGGATGTAAATAGTGGTATACATGATACTCGTGTCTGTGCCGCCTTCAGCCAGGAGAGACACTGTATCTATGGCAACCACAGTCAGCATTGTCAGGGGGGTGAACCGGTGAGTGGCTATGCGGAAGGAGAAAGCAGTGACCTCCGCGTAGAGAAATTGCAAGCGATTTTTGAGCTGGGGGAACTGAAACTCGACCGCTCTGTCTGCTTGCCGTCTGAGAGCGCACAAGCGCTCACGGAAAGTTGGTTTTCCTTCCTTCACAAGTTCATAATCAGCTTCTGCCTTAAAGTCTTCAGTTATTGGGAGAAGCGGGGACCTGAGCTTGCTTGCAGTTTCCCAGTTCTGGCTCAGTTGTACCATGAGATACTTAATCCAATCAGTTCCCAACAGCTGATATACCCTCCACTCTGCTTCCCGTAGGATGGCGGGGCGCGTTGCTTGCTCCGCCTTTGCAGCGTCAAACGCCTCCCAAAGCACTGCTATAGCTAGGTTCATTAAGAACATACCACCCACCACCACCAATGCAGGAAACGCAATGTAGGCTACAACACCGGCGCTGCTGTGATCACCGTCTACTTGGCGCTGCATCGTGAGTGCCCATCCTTCCAAGGTAAATCCTTGCAGGATGGTCACTGCTGCTGCCCCTAGTGTGTGGAGGCCAATCACTCCAAAGGCCGCTTCTTCATTGGTTTGAAGTTCACGCCATGCTCTGTCTTGAAGAAGCCTGCGATCTTCAGCAGTGCATGAGGAGGTCACCGAATACAAAAACAAATTCCGACACTGTGTACCTTCTCTGCAAGGTGACTTGTCGGAACAAAAGCGGAACTGAGACTCGTCAACATCCCAGAAGAAACTGTCAGCAGAACAGGAGTCGCTCGCTTGTACTTCAGCTGGCAACGGTAAATCCGGATAGCAGCGGTACCAGCAAGTGAACCCATAGAAATGCAGAAGCACAATTAGTACCAATACCGAAAATACCAGCACAAGCACGCATACAGCCACTAGGTCTTTGGCACTGCGGGCTAGCTGTGAAATTGCTGAGCGGAACGTGCGACATATTCTTAGCAGAACCCATGCGCGCGCATTCCTCAATATGGCCAAAAATGCCAAAGAACCTGAGCTGTGCGTCCACCAGCCTGCACCTACCCCAAAGCAGTATAGCACATCCGCCGATATGTTCATTAAAAAAATGCAGTCCAGCCACCCTGACCACGACCGCAGATAGGCGTGCTTCGTTGACCAGACGCCCCGAGAGCCGGCACCGGTGATGACTAAACATATAGGCCCAAGAAGCAGCAAGATATTGCTTGTCCAGGTCAGGAAGGGAGGTGCTATGTTCGTTGCACCCAGTGCTGTCACAAGGCAGTCCAATAATACAGTAAGCATCAGCAGTGCCCTTGAAAGCCGAGAATCTCGTACCTTGAAGCAAAACACACCCCACTGCCCTCTAGCTGCTGAGTATTCCAGAGGCGTTACGGCAGCTGATGTACTTATAGATAGCAGAGAGCTCAATGCTCGGCTCCGCACACTGCTGAGCCGGTTGTCAGTGCGTTCCGTTCCTTGAGTCACTCCGCTAGACTCATGAAGAGGTCCTGTGTGGCTGGACATATTGAATGTCTCAGACTCAAATGACCTTTTATCTGGGTTCGCCATGGTGGAGTCAGCGGGGGACGGTTGAAAGGTGTCGTTGTGGTACAGCGGCCGTCGAGGAGGCGTTAGCTTGCCTACACGTCAGGCCGCTCCTTCGCAACCAGGATCTCACATATGACAGCCAAATCCGTATATCAAATCTGGCAAAAAAGACTGCGCATAGGCCACTGAGCGCACGATATTGTCGCAGCCACGTTCGGCACGGTTTTCGCTGGGCGGTCGGGAGGAGATCCCCCAACTCGAGCCAGCGAGATCCAATCGACGCTGCATCCCAGTTTAGCACCTGTGTCTTTCAGTAAGTGTTATTTATTTTCTTTCGATTTCTATGACATCTGTGACGTGCCCTGCTTCAGCCACTTCTCAGAAGCGAAAGACACGTATGTTCAGTGTCTACCTACTCTGCCAGTGCTTATGAGGATGGTAGTGAACTGCTAACAAGTGCGTGAAATCCAGGTATTAAGTATCAGCATAAAGGTAGAGAATCATATTCGCTGACCTCCTAGTGGTTGGGCCACCGGGGCTGCCCACTAGGTGCATGCGTTTGGCACTGAACAACCGAGCCAGTCGCCGGACGCATATTTACAGTAACATTGAATTGTTCCACGCAGAGAAGGCGTGAAAACATCGTTATCCAAGGCCTTGGAGAAATAATTCTAGTCGTTACAAAAACTTTTGGAGGGATTTTGAGAAATTAGCCTGACCATTTGCTCACGACATATTTCGTAGCATAGAGCATGGTCCATTACCAGTGAAGAGATCCATCACTGATTCCACCTATATACAGCTTTGGTTGCGCTTTTGAGTGGAGTTTATATTGACAGAACCGTTATATAGTACAGTGAATCGCGTGGTGAATAGGACACCTGGTTCGGTTTGCTACATCTAGTCAAGTTCTGTCACAATGAACAAGCAGAAGCAAACTCCATCAGACAGAGCAATGGCACTTCCAAAGCGCGTGGGAGGTCATCGACGCTCATCTTTAGCCATATTTTTTAGGGGGGAAGAGCTTCAAGAGAGCGACGATAACCAGGTACTGCATTCCATCTCGGCTGTATGAGGGTACCCGTGCCAGCAGTCTCAGTGCATCCAATAGCGAGCAAAAAAGTGAAAGTGAATTCGAAATGTAGCCAAGGATGCAGTTGTCTTGATTTATTATCACCACTCATGCCTTTTTACGATGTTCAAAGTCGTGGAGTCTCTCCTCCCATAGATAGAAGGCAGAACTGCACGAGCTAGCCTCCAACATAATATTGCTGCAGGCTAATCAACGGTTGAAACCGAAAGATCAATTACAATTGAGTCCAGAAGAGCTTCGGCAGCGCATGCCACCCAACACCTTGTATCCCAAGAATCCTCGAGCGCCTCAGAATATTACTCGTTTTTCTTTCAAAGAGAACCAGTTCAAGAAAGAAGGCGATGTTGATCAAACTGTGTTTCACTTATCGATTGAAAGGTAGCTGTGCACGGAACCATGCAGTGCCTCGCTTCACCACATGCCGCTCGTTGGGTAGGACCCGGTGATTGGATATATCGTCACTGCACCTTTAGAGGACAGTGCCGCTGCATCAACAGCCTTTAACAATGCCATAAAAGCCTGAATCATCGAGACGCGTGGTGTTTAAAGGCATGCTTACCTTCTTGGGGGGTGAATAACAGTTCAGACGCCTTGCATTGTACTGGCATCATGCAGCACCCTGCTGTTAAAGGACAGTGCGGAAGCAACGGAGCAGGAAGAGCTTCTACGACTTCGAAAAGAGGCAGCAGAACTTCGGAAGGAACTAGAAGCTGTTGAGGTGTCAATTGAGGATGATGGTTGTATGGCATCATTCCTGCCAAGCGAGCTATTTGAATCAAAAGCTTATCTAGTTATATCTTTGACCGGCTGCGCAGAATCTTCCAAAAAGTTGCTTACTTGCTATTCTAAAGACTTTGAATAGGATTTGCCTCGTGGTGTTGCTTCACTGCAGCAACACAGGATGAAGAAGGACGCGTTATGCGGAATCAATTTAACAACGTGGATCGAGCCACCCACATTAGGAGCCGCGCTACAGTGTACTTGTTGAAATAGATCACGCACACATAGAGCCCTAGTTTACCTTGACCTTAGACTAACAGTAAGTTTAAACTCTTTCATGAGCCATGAACTAAATAAACTTGATGTGTCTTATCTTTTTCCAGAGAGAGGAGCTGTTTTACAGTGCCACCTCCAAAGCGCACTTGTTGTGGAACTGGTAAGCACTACCCGAAATAGCAACCAGAAATGTTGTGTGTCCTATTATGCTCATATTCATATGGACCAGGTAGTTGTGTCCACCACACTCGTATCACTGACTAACCGTGGGGCCGGTTGTGAGCTTTACAGTGAACCGCTGGATTATATGCGATGCCTATGCCAAGGAAGCAGAAATGCAGAACCGAAAGGAAAGCGAACTTAAGGTACTGACGAGTAATTGTCATTTCGATCATCACTAATGAGCTTAAGGCAGCGGCGAGAATCAGCGTTCCAGTACAGTATCCTTCCCGCGGAATGCACTATGAAGGAACACCCACTTAAGCATGGCATTAGGCCCACCATATATATTTTAAATGTTGGGTTTTGTGCTTCTAGCCACGCATAAGGCATCCACTGTCGCTTCTTCCACATGATCCACTGAAGAGCCTAATGGGCTCGGAGAAGTTCAGATGGTCTCTGAAGGTGAGGAGTTGCTTGCTCTTGCCATCCTAGTTACATAATCTCGGCCTCGTTGAGTAAGATACCTCTTGATCTACCACCTTAGTAAAAGAGCTCAATCTACAGCGGCATTTAACCAATAATTGTGGAGTCATGCATCTACAACCATTTACAGTATAGCGTCATTGCGGTTGCCGAGGGCGGTGTTGATTACCTTCACAGTGAAAGAGTTTCACTGTGTTGTATGCTACTCTAATGGCGGGCGTTCGCTTTTATGTGCAGGTTTTAGAGCGTGTAGTAAGCTTCATCGCTCAGCTTGAAGCATACCGCGAGTTTCAGGCTACAGATGAAGACGCATGTGATACATCTTTAAGTGTAACTCCGATTTGGGAGCTCCGATTACCTCGAATAAAAGGGAAAGACGCCATGGCTCTTCAGTGGAATCCATATTATCATGACCTTCTTGCAGTCGGATTCGGTTCGCTTGGCACAATTGGATGCATGTTCAGAATCATGTCCTGATGCTTCTGCTCTCAGTGATTTTACTCCGTAGTCTCAAGTGTCTTACGCCGCGGGTCATGTGGGCATGACTGTATAAAGGCTTTGAAAATGTTTAAAATGGCTCAATTCGTATAGTGGTTACACACTTTTATATCTGTAGACAATGCCAGCTGCTTGATCAGCAGAATGCGCTGTTCGTGCGTAGGCAACTACGAGTACGTACAGCAGGGCACCGGCTATGTGTGCTGTTTTTCTCTTAAGAATACATCCCATCCTGAGTATTTTTGGAAGCTTGATTCTGTGAGGCTCACTGGAACCGCTAGCGCTGTAACCGGCACAAATCGTAGGTACTGGTGTTAACTTCACATAGAATGAATATCCTTTTCAACAGCTTAAAAAGTTGAACGGTTCAGCACACGCAACTTGATGCTTTTAAAGGATTGGCACTGTTTTTGAGTCTGCGTACCTCTTCCTACCTACAGAAAGTTTGCAGTTTAGACTGGCATCCACTACGACCGTCACTCTTGTGCGTGGGGCTTTACGATGGCAACGTTGCAGTGCTAGACGCAACGGCACCAAGCAAGCGACCGTGGCATTTATCAACGGTGAAAACAGGGAAACATATTGACCCTGTTTGGGGAGGTGAGTTACTGCAAAGAACCATGGCACTTTCAGCATGCAGTAGCAGTCTCTGTAAGCCAACACGACCATCAGCGTCAGGACGGCAGCATTTTAGACTACACTGTTGATACATGCCGTGCACTGTCCAGCCTGGCGGCAGTTCTGCGTGCGCTGTTTCATCAGTACGCTGGGATGTCGACACATCCACAAGTCAGCTGTCCTTCATTTCCGTGTCGGCGGATGGTTGTGTTATGCGCTGGACTCTCCTCAAAAACAAGCTGGAATCTGAAGTGGTAAGTGCAACGGTAGATCAGCACTCACATAGGCGACCAGCAATTTTCATCAATTACAAAAATCCCAGTCTGCTGTCGAAATTGCCAGATGCTAAACTGGGAGAACCGAGCACTGAGATCGCCCAAGTGATTTTTTCTCTGTAAATGTGTTCGAGCTTTTCTGTGAAGCTCCTCACACTAAAGCGCGATACCGGGGCATTAGGAGGCGATGCGGCTGGAGTATCTGAGTCATCAACTACTCTTTCGCTCGCAACTGGACTGTGCTTCGACTTCTGCTCCGCTAGTCCGCAAGTGTTTATTGTTGGGACTGAGGAAGGAAGCATACTCAAGTGTTCAAAGGACTACAGTGGCCAACTTTTGAGTTCATATAAAGGCGCGTTCTTGAATGTTTGGGTACACCATCTTTATTGTAGTATGACAGCACAAAATCAAGGCACAAAGCCCTTCAGGTGTAGTATGACCGCGTGGAAAAGCTGTGGGGTACGCCGGCCCCCCCATATGAAGCAGTTCACTGCTCTGATGTCCTTCGTTTTCCCAGGACACAATATGCCCGTACATGGAGTGCATTGGAATCCGTTTAGTGAACATATTTTTATTTCGGCGTCAGCTGACTGGCATGTTATGATTTGGGATGACCGCCTACAGAAGAATATATTTACGCTGGACTACGGAACGGTATCACTTCTGGCAGTATCCTCATATGCACGAGGCATATGGGTAGCCTTTTTGACATTTAGACAGTAAATAAAAAAATTATTAAGTAGCATAGCACAAAGCTTAGCTGTGAAGGACCAGCCTCGAGCTGGTAAAACAAGCAATGGCCCAAGAGGTTGAGCTACGTGGATTGTTTGAGGTCGCATGCTGTGATCAGCCAATAAGTGACGTGGCATGGGCTCCTTACAGCTCAACTCAATTTGCTGTGTTGACGACAAGTGGAATGGTGAGACCAGATACTGGCATAGCCTACCAGTGCGGCACGCCCTTGAAAGCTTGTACTAAAAAGTTCCTCTACCCTGCCAACCAATTCCCACGAATGATGAAATATATGTGCCGCTGGAAAAAGATTTAGGCTGCGCCTACAAGCGAAGCGCAGGTTCAAGACTTGCATAGAATCAACAGTGTTTCCTTGAGTTTATTCCAACCTTACACCTCCATGAAAACTGAGCCCGAGAGTGCTGCGTACAGCTGCATGTGCACGACTTGACCATGCATAGGAGGCTTCCCGTTATATCTCAAAAAGTATGTCACAAGTAGCACAAAGTTTTCATCAATTAACGATCTAAAGATGAGCGATTTGTCTAAGTGTTTGTAGGCTGGTAGCTCCTACAAAGTGTAGTGAAATATCAGCTTTTGTGGAGGGGCATTGGCACCAGCCAGTAGGAGACATTGCTGCTGATGTGTGTTGAGTACAGTATGTCGGTATTGCCGACGATTTGCATGCCTGCACGTAACTTTCTGCGCAGGTGTGCTGTGATGCTGCTGGCACACGAATTTGTTTTAATTCACGGAGCTTGGTTCTTGCAATCGCCCAGACAGGGGGCTCAGTGACCATCGTTAAGCTACCGCAGAGGCTTGTGACAATTCCAGTAAGTCATTAACTTGCCTCCCTACCGAGGCCAAATGATCACAGTATCTTAGCACCTGGGTCGTGTGTATTTTATCTAATAGAGAAGAATATCTCACTCGTTTTGTGCTAGTTGCATCATACTTGATAAACTTGTCTTTAGGCCATAACTTTGATTGATATGTGTCGTTTACCTACTCTTAATTCTATGAGCCCTTGAGTCGCTTCCTCCAACTTCAATTCCAGCATACATAAACTACTTTATACTGTTCTTGGTCGTCCTTGTTTGTAGACTCCTTCAACCCACTGCATTATTTAACAGTACTTGCCAATTAGCGTTAGTTACTCTCCTTGACTTCTAAGCAATGGCACATTTAATCGCCAAACGGCAAAAATAAAGTGAAGTAATTTCTTTGATACTAGAAAATATGCAGCCCTTATCTTCAGGAGCCCAGATCGTTCGCCCTCAGATAGAGCAACTAAGTGATGTATAGTGACACCAACGTCATAGGCTTTGTGGTCCCGGACCATCACCACTAGGCGTTCATACAGCACATCGATTTTTGGTTAGAATAATGTTTAGCAAGTCACTGCTTGTATCTTACAACGTCTGAGATGAGTCAAAAGGTGTGAAGCAGCTAAAAACGGTCGTTGTATTGCAGGAACCGACAGCTGAGGTTGGTTTGCTCTCGGCAGAAGCTTGGCAAGCAGAACGCCTCACTTCGGTTTTGCTTCTTATCAGCGAAGAGTTCCGTGAGGCTGCCAAACCCAAAGACCGCTCAATGCGTGATTCGAAACTGACTTGTCAAGGGCTAGAGAAGGAAGCCCCACATTCCGCGCGACAGGAAGATTAGTTGCGACATACACTCCCCGATAGCTCTCACTTTATGGTATTAGGCGTCAGGACGTGGCATCCGCTCGATATGATGGGCTTTTGCTTATCTGCATCCCTTCGTTTTTTGAAACATCACAACAGCAAGCAAGACACCGCACAAACGTATACATACGTTGGCCCCGCGTAGTGGTCTCATGTCTTGAGCCGTGGCTGTGCGGACTTTCGAGCATCTATCAATCAGGCACACAGCCTTGTGCAGGGGCACGTGGCACATGCCTTTGTGCATTGCTTAATGCAGATCACTAATGCAAGAGAAATAAGGCTGCACAATAGGCGCTATTGTGACCAGCTTAGAGATCCAAAAGTTTTGCCCTTCTATGCTGGAGATCAAGAGGATTCTTGACCTAAAACCCCACTTGCTGCTTTACGCACAGCGCATGTTAGTCTAGGTTGGTAGCGTCAGGATACCTACAAATGCAAAAAAGCATTACCTTTCGATAAGCTAAAAGCTGCTTATTCCTTGTTTTGATTAGTGCCCAGAAACTCAAGGCATTTTCTTGTATCTGCTTGTTTTTACTAGACTGCCTGTTTCTCAATTTAGGCGCCAATTTAGAAACATGGAACTCGGCAACTTGAACTGATGCTTTTTTCCACGCACTGCCAAGCTTTTCCTTTCTTGCTTTCCTTCGAGAATAACTACTAAGCTGGAAAATAACTTTAATAGAAGCATTGAAGAGCAGCTGTAGAGACAGGATCACATGTGTACGGAATACGCTGCCCTATTCTTAGCTCCTCTGCTTAGAAAAATAGAAAAAACCAAGAACCGTAAACTACGGTTTGCTTGGATACTTCACTAGTGAGTGAGACCCCAGCTCTCCTAGTTTTTCTGTATACATTTGAGTTGCTCGCAGTAGTCATGACATAATTTGTATTCAAGGTGTGTTATGAAGGCATGCCAGAAATTATAGAGATGTAGATGGTTGTATGCCTACCAACGTATCTAGTTTGCGGGGTCTGCGAATCTTCCAGAGGTGATCAACTAGTAATATTGTCCTTCCAATCATCATCGAACTGCACCTAAAGGAGGTTGCCGCATTTTTTTGATGCTAATCTTATGGAAAGTGCTATGATCCCTGGTTCCAGAACCTCAAAGTGGAAGCTTCGTCAAATCCAAAAAGGTGTTTTCGAAGGCACAAGAGTTTTGTGCAGAAAGTGGATCAACGTCTTACACTTTTAGTGGCTGAAGGCCATGGCATGAAAAGCAAGACCCCCTTTCTTAGAAGATAGTTTTATGCGACCAGAAATTTTTTGAAGAACACACAATGATGTACCCCGCTCCGCCTCAAAGACCAGTTTGTAAGTGTTGCGAGGCAAGGCTGGACTATTTAATTACCTCAGTGATTACACTTGCCAAATTTCAAAGCAAGCTTCCCTTGATAATGCAGCGGTTCTCCGTTCTGCAGTGTTAATGCGAATACCAATAGTGGCCGGGGTATTATCAACCACAGACAAGGCTCGCCACCTTTTGGCTGCCTGCGAATTGTCATGTAGGGGACTATTTCAACGCATTCCTGCTGGCCCCTTTTACGTCGCAAGAGCGATAGCTTGATGCCCAGATGTACATAACTGCAAAAGTATACTGCAGGAAATGCCCATGCCAGTGCTCATTTTCTATTGTGTTATTGCTCTTTATGACCAAGCGAGGCAAGTATTCATGTACCGAGCCTTTACAATTAAATGAAGATGTCCTGCTTGGTCTGTGGACTCATAGAACTCATACAAACGAGGGTTGGAGGATGCTTACTACATGGCTGGACTCTACGCTGGCGCTTCTAGGTGGAGACATTTGTCTGGTGGGCTCCTGCAGAGACAGCCCGAGTGGAGGTTACAATGCAATGGACATTCATAAAATGAAAGATTTTAGTACTAGATGCAACTGTTCTTTGAGATCCTTAGCCTGTTCTATTTTGATTTTGATCGTTGCTGCAAATCCGCAATGCCGGAAATCCTGTACATTATGAAAAAATGAGAGAGGCAGTCTCTGCTGATATCAGGCATGTTCTTATGACTATGCACGCGAAGCGGAGGCCAAAGCTACAATAAACACTAGTGCATCGTTTTTTAATCACTCTCCCTGATTGCGCTAGCTCATACAACTACTCAAGAATTGAGCTACCATATCCCAGCTTAGCAATGCCTCATTGAGATATGGATGCTCGTTCCCAAAGAAACTGGCCACGATATTGCGCGGATAAACTCTCAGCTTTACTTTGTTCCACGACGGCGTCGTAAATTATTGACAGCCAAACATATTATTCTAACGTAGGGAAACGTCTTTTAAAAACACATTAAGAGCAATCCTGTAGGGTTGTCGAGCATCTGTGAACAGACAGGACCCGGAGGGAGCTGGGCCTCCAGCACCTTTTTGATGCGTCTAGGTGCACTGTGCGACTAATCTTGGAAAAGCCACGTCCAGACATCAGTCGGAACACAGAGGCTTTCGGCTACTCCAGGAACGTGAATTATCCACTGCAAGAATTCTGCATTCGCAATTTATGGACATATCTGCTTTGTGCCCTGCACAACGCCGAGGTAATAGTTTCAGGGCAAAACTGACCATTATTATGGCTCTGCTTATGCCTACGCTTCTTGAAATGCACCATGTATACTGTCTTAAGGCTGAACACGTATTCGTGACCTACCGTTGAACCACAACAACTGATTGGAATCCGACGTGTGAAAGCGCCTGGTACAAATACAGCACGCTGACTAGAAGCTGTGTTTTGCACAAAGTCCTTGAAACGGAGTCCCGTGTGCAATGTGTAGCAGAAGTGCAACTATTTCACACTACAAAGCTGGCCTAGTTGAGACCTTTTATAGAGGTAAAAGTCTGATTCCTACGTCATCTAGGACCCCTCCCATAACCTTGTATCTTGCCAGCAAAGTACCTTATTGCTGCGTCTGCCCATTCTGAAAGAATTTCCTGTACCATCCTGGGATTTGTCACACAAAATCAACATTCACCAATTCTTTGCTTTTTAGTTGGTTCAATTAGTTAAGCTTTATCATAGGTAGCTTCTAGTTAATAGCTGCGCAGCAGTTACAGCGCTGGTTTTAGTGCTGAGAGCATATTCTTTATCGTCCTTACTGTTTAACAACATCTTCTGAGTGCCTCTCGAGAATAACCCTGCGTCCCACAAATGCTATTGGCATCTAGCGCTAGCTTTCGTAGGTAACTTGCCATGCTATGGACACACTCAAAACCTCACCACGCAACTCTAGGCAGTATGAACACTCCGTATCGTACTTTGCTTTGAACTCATCTGAATTCCAGTCGTACGACGCAACACCAGTCTTGAGGAAGCATAAAAACAGTGACCGCATGATATCTACTATATCTTCTTTTACAATGTACCTGCACCAAATGAGCGAACGTTGAGTGTTCCAAAAAAGTGCACTGCGGCGTTTCGCAAGGCTGGAATACACGCCTGCACATCTTGCAGCCTGTGGCTACCTCTGTAATATTACTTACCCCTTGTTTCCTCTGTCATAGATGTGGAATAAAACTGAAAACCGCATGGGAACAGAAAAGGCAATATCTTAGGGCTATGTTTGGAGTGTCGATGCTAATGCAGCTCTGCCACCAACGAAAGGTCTTGATTTTGGGCTGTGCAGGCTCATTCCTGCCTTCGCTCGTTGCAACCCAGGCTATACTTACGAGTTAAACGCTGATGAGGAGTGCCTAAGATTCATTGAATGGCACGCAGCACAACAGAAAGCATCTTAGCTATCTCGCGTGCATTCTAGGATGGATAAAGGCCTGGTGGAAACGTGGGAAACCTTTTGCGTAGGCTTTTGAGGGCGAAACCAAAAGGAGGAAAATCAGGCGAATAGTACGTTATGTCTCACCCCGAGTCCATATACTCAGAAGCCGAACAAATTCTTCGAATCCTATTTCAATACCCCTGTCCTGTGTCCTGTGCTGCCAGAAGAGCCTAACGAATCTGTCGGCGAAGGCAAAACTACAAGCATTTGAAAGGTTGAAGAGTCCCAAGAGGCTGACAGCACTCAGCCCCCCCTCTAGAGGTTTCCTTTCACCAGCTTGCAGTCGAAATCCTGTACAAACAACCAGGTAGTACGAGCAATATTACGGACGCACATGAAAACCGAAGGCACAGTAGTGAAGGAGAAGGCTCTTGGCATTTTGCACATCTTTTTGAGCGGCTATTCATTGGTAGTGCATGAGAGTGTTACCGCTGTATAGAGCTTGAACTTCTTCAACAGTAACTGCAAATGATAGCACAGAAGGAGACTATGGCGGTGAGGTACGTTACTACTTGGCCCCAATTTGAAAACTCAGTACAGCGTGAAACCTGAAGGGCGATCGCGTGGTAGCTATTACAACGCACTACCACTAGCGTGAAAAGCGCGCAACAATTTTCTGAATAGCGTATATACAAGCTAAATAACGCCCAACATAGGGTCTTTTCAGGAGATAAGGAAACAGGTCGAGCTGGCTCTTCATCTTACAGTGGGTTTGCAGGGCTAGAGACCTGAGCTCCGCTGAAGAAAACTTTAGCTTCTTCACATCGGCTCTTGGTCTCGTCATTTGCGAAAATGTAATTTCGCGCATGTTTAACGCTTATTGCTGCTCTAGAAGTGGGCCAGCCAGCAGTAAATGAATGACGGCTCTGCTTGGAGGGGTAAATGCAGGTAAATAAATAAGTTTGCAATTCATATAGAGAAGCAAAGGAAAATCATCATATTGAGCCCCCAGCGGCTGCAGCTAGATCGTCATTGCTTTGGAAGCACACAACGCTAAAATCAGTGGCTGGGCTCCGTATAATGCTGATGCCCCAGAGCTGTAGAATGGCCTTAGAAACAGAGAAATAGACTTTGCGTTGTGATGTTGCACCAAGTGCGCCACTTCCGATTTTCGCTGCTTTCTGAGCATGAATGCCACCATTCTACATGCGTTCAGCTAGGCATAGGATGAAAAGGATAGATCAGGGGAGGGTGCACATCAACCCGACATGTAGGCACTACTAGACTTCGATATGCTTCGAACGCTCCCTGCTAATGGAATTCCAGTCCTTAAGGCGGTACGCATGCTTATCGAAGGGCGTTACTGGAGTTCCTGTAGTGTCCTTGTGTTCATGTGCAAAGTAAGAGACGAACTACAAGAAAATTAGCCTAATAGGCGCTATGCTGTTACTAGAAAGATACATGCGCAGGTAATTTTGATTTACGTATCATTGGGATACCCTCTGGTTGCCCTGTAGAAACTAGCTCTTAGTTTCTTCAGTGACCTGCACGGATGATGAACTACACACGTTGTTTGCCGTGTACGAGCAGGAACACCTTAGACTAAGACTGTAGTGCCCTGCTCAAAGAGCTAAAGTTGAATTTCCAGTCCTTACTAAATATATTTGCCAGTTCTGGGCAGATTCTGCCTGAGAAAACCAACGGGGCTGCCCGCAAGATGCATGCATGCCTCAGCAAGTGCATTTTTAAAAACATATGCATGCATCTCCACGGAAAATAGGATCAGCCTAGGCAAGAAAGGAATTCAAATCCTTTTCTATCATTACAAAGAATCTCTCTTGGGAGTAGACGTGGTCCTAAAGTGCGACTAGCATAGTGAACCACATGCCAAGTGCACACGCCGCGTTATACCATTTGGACTGCTCCAGAGCCCAACGCCACACCGCATTTGTTTGTCTGCATTAGATGTGTATAGTTCTTCTCCGTACTTAGCGAGTTTTGTGGACCTTGATCTACTTGCTCGGTGGACGGCCGAAGCAGCGTTAGACCGCCGGTCTGCAGGCTATGCGGCCGAAAACAAGAGCTTGTATTGAAAGCCTCATTTATTAATGAGGTATGGGTAGACTTCGCCGCTGTAAACTTCAAAGCATAATGGCAATTGAATACGCCCAGCGGATTGTCTTATGGGTGGTACGCGATCGTACGGCGCGTGTGTTGCTAGGTGTGCGAAATCTAGAGCCTCAGACACTCTATTGTTGAGAAACCCGATTACTCTTTCGAATTTGAAGGTGCAAAGCTAGTGATTGAGCTTGTGAAGTCAACATCGGCTATTGTACTCAAGCCAAAGTGGAGTTTTGAGTCAGAGAGCTCGGGCATGCCTGAGGATCTGAGGAAAGGAAACTTCATGGAATAGCTACCGTATATACAAAGATAGTGATTCAACAAAATTAAAAATACTAGAGAATTAGACACTCGCCTCACGAGTTGATCAGATGACATAGAAAGTCCGGCCGGGGTGCATGCTGCCAGCTGGACAAACTCGATGTTTTCATAGAAATTGTGTCGAAAGTCCACATATGGCAGAGCAATAGTCAGCGTTCAATGAGTAAGCTCACCTGTGCCCACAGCAAAACAGTTCTCAAGCAAGCGTCTTCTTGTTCTCTTGCAGCTTGAAGTATTTGTTCGAACGCGGGCAGAAAAACACGCTGGTACAGATGATCCATGGTGGAAGAAATGAAGCCGTAGTTGGCTGAGCAGGTGATGACAGCATCTTGTAGAGAGCGACCCCACAATGGGCATGCTAGGGTAACCCAGATGGCTCCATGTCCTCGAAATACTGCAACATGCACACTATTCTTTCGTCAGGTCTACTTAGTTGCTCACCTAGAGTACAGGTAACGGAATGCACGTAATACTGCGTGCTTTGTTCCTAAGCGCATCAGTAGGTTCCTTCTGTGCAGCCTTTAAGTTATTATTAGGCGGTGCTCCTAGGTTGCACACTTATTGTTCTCTAACCCAACAGCGTTGCCGCTAAGTACCGGATTCCCGCCTGTGACCTATCTGAAAAGACATAAACATGGCCTTTCAGCTTTTAACCAAAACTAATTTGAGAGGATATTCTACACACCGTTTCATACGGAGTGCCCTTTGGCACATGGTAAACATATTCAGAAGGTGCTGCCCCTGCTTGCACACTGCGCAGGACGTGGTGTTAGTTTTTCGGGCTTTAAATCCAAATTTTCTGCCGTGAGTGAAAGGCCACAGCTGTGGTTACTCAAAATGGGTGGGCCTGTGCATGTCCATGCTGGGGAAAGTGAACCTTCCCTACACCCGTCCGACAGCAGTGCCAAGGAAGAGTGGGGCGACGCTTCGTGGCTCCTCTGGGAAGCTACACTGCTTGCCGCCGCCTTGGATGCCCACCAAATTACCCACATCCGAAGGTTAGTCTTGTAACTGGATCCTGAATTACATAAACAAAGTGTCCACAAGGAAAGCTACCAGGTGGTGAAACTTTGAACAAACATATAGGCTTTCCGACTATGGCTGCTTCTGTAATGCTACTCAACCATTGCAAATGCCTAGAGCATATCAAATTTACCCATGTACGGCCATGAAGCTCCTACGTTTCTATGACCTAACGTTCTCAAACTACCCAGAGTTACACATCTGATGAGATAGCTGCAAAATCTGTCAGGCTTCCTCCCAGAACATACACAGATACGAGCCCACCCAACAAAACTTCTCTTAGTCATCGTAAAGCGCTCATAAAGCGTGGCAGAAAAAAAGTGTCGACAAGAATGATGTGAAAGTCGGAACAGGAGCTGATACGTACACATACTTGCGATATTAGGGATTTCCCCGAATTCGGGCCATGGGCATTTTCCAGTGGAACTGAAGAGAGCAAGCAGCAGCAGGCGGACACACATCTCTTTCTAGGCATGGTTATATATCTGTTACATATTCTGGGTTGTGATATGCCGCAAGTAGGCCCAGACAACTTTGAGGATGCAAGCAACGCGATTAGTACGCCTTTGCGATACCTGCTTACTGCTACTGTTCATTAGTGAAACTAGTGGAAGACTGGCAGTTCTCTAGGCTTTGCACCTTTCTCGTCGAATGCATGCTTGGTTCTTAGGCTCAGAAGCTTCTGTGTTTTCTCAGGGAGAGCTCTCTCTACGCTTCAAGCCCCGATATCCATTTCTGTATCAGAGATTATCAAGGTAGCTGTAGCCCATTGTTAAGGCCACACAAAGATACTGAACGCCACAGACAACATATTATGAAACACCCTAGTGAAATTGTCCTCAAACTTTGTAGCGTGGCTTGGTGGCTAAATATTGCACATGGGTACGCTGAAGAAAACTTCTTCTTGGTTAACGTAGTATGCCATTCACAGTGTCTAATATCGATCATGGTAATGTGCGGCACTGCCAATCTCCTGTAGGCCAAAAGGAAGGACGCTTCTCCCCTGTTGTACTGGCTGCTCCGCAAGGTTGGTACGCAATAGCAGTAGCGCATCACAATGCAGGAGGTCCTCAGCAGCAGGGATAACACGAATATAGTTTAGAGCTACATCAAAAAATCCTGAGAAAAGATGCCATAGGCTTGCAACTGCTACCAAGAGAGTGTAGTGTTAAAAAGAAAGCCATTACTGAGTGGATCAAGGAATAATCAAGGAAATCACAAATACACACATCGTATATGCGAAAGGTGTCGGACGCACCATGATAAATACTTGGCAGGCATTTTTGCTGCTTATTAGTTCAGGTAGCAGAAAGGAAGTGTCTCTCTTTCGCTGATCCGGTGTTCCTATCTGAACACGATTCTAGCAAAAAGGCTTCAGCAACATGGAGTATTAAAAAGGAACGAAATGGAGGCCGACGAGGTCAAATGCCAGAGGAGCTGACGGTGAGGCACACACAGGACGCGCCGTTTGAACAGGCTTTTGCAAGTAGACTATAATGTATCCAAATGCCTAAGCCGCAGTCGGGAAAATCAACTTTGGAGCAAGACAAAAGGTCCGCCGCATAGTCCTCTATACCTGTCTTCTGGCAGACTGGGCACTACCTAAGTTGACAAGTGTTCAGTGTGGCACTGTTGGCACAGGCCGTTCTTGTGAACTCCGCTGCACTCTGTTCCTCCAGACTGCTCTCTGTCACTAGAAGGTGTAGCTAAGTAGCTCCACGACATTCCACAGACCAAAAGGAGATTGTTTGCTTAGATACGTAAGTTCAGAATAGAGCATCACGAGGGGCTCTCGCATTGCTTGCTCGATGCAGATGGAGTGTAAAGAAGTCGTACACGCACAAGAAAGCCTGCCGCAATCTTCAGCTTTAGCCCCTGTGGGAGTGCCTACCACCGAGAATGGCCAGTGTGTCTTTCTTTGGAAGCAGAAAATGCAAAACTTCAGATCAATGAGAGGCGAGCTACAGCGGCACATGAGGCAACTTCGGGTCGTCCTCCCCCCCTTAGTAGAAGAGGCAAAGCGAATTGTCTTAGGTCTCAGGTGCAACGAGAAAGCTCTTCGTGACTCCTTTCCCGACCTTGTTAGCTGAACGCACTCAGTGCATGCTCACATATCTTAAAGCCTCTTTAAAAGTGACTGCCGGGGAAGGAACTGCACGCAGAGTCCGTGCAGTCCTGCGCGAGACCGCTACGCAAGATGCCACCGCGTTCAGGTTAACACAAAACATAGAACGTCCAGAAATTCAGTCCAGCAGTTGACTTTGGGTGTCTGTGCAGTATTTACAGTACGAAGCTGTGTTGAAACAACGAACAGCACAAGAAGAGCGGCATCGCCAACTTCAGGCGGAGCTCCACTCCCTTGAAGTGGTTCTGAAGTCTAGCGAGGAGCGACTCCAGCAAGCAACTAGGGACCTTGCGGACGTTACCGCATTAAGAGTAACGCCTAGACCAGGAGAGTCCCTCGAGTCAGTAATATCCTCTCTCCAGGCAAGCGGCTTTGACAATATGCCTAACAGGAAGCTTGCGTCGCTTGGACCGTGTTGTGAGGATGTATTCGCACAAGCCAGCCACTCCAATGATGCTGTATTGCGGGGCATTTTGACTGCTTACCATAGGGGGAATTGAAGCAGCTGGATGTTCGGGCAGCCATTCTAAGGCACGCCTCAATCCACGTAAGTGTATGTGCATCCTGCCAAGCTGCTGCTGGTTGTGCGTCCTAGGAGCGCTCCAGTGGATCACCACACAATAGTAGACTTTGCTATTTTTAGCGGGTCTTTAATTGCAACATACCAATCTAAAGCGGTGTTTGCAAACATAAAGGCACACCCACGAAACAGAGTACTTGTGGTCCCGCTACTGCGGGGCCCACAGCTTATTGGCTCTTCCCTAACGCATGTCGGATGACTGGTGCAGGCGAAGCCAGACCCTGCATTTGACGACGCAGAAGAAGAAGAAGAAATACCTACGCTTGACTGAAACAGCCTTGTTCATTTAACAGTGCAGGTTGCTTCCAGACAGTACGCGATATGTAGCATCAATCGCCACGCTTACTCAGGCGGGGATCACTGTGCATGGCAACTAGTGTAACAGCCTTAGCAACTCTCTGCAATGAGACTACGCTCGTTTAGCATACCGGCAGGCACAATGCAAAAGGCAATCATTTCATGATGTGACCAATTGCATTCTAATGGAACGTGACGCAGGTATTTCGTACGACTCGACTTATTTATGTTCCTTTCCCCTTGCTACCACGGGTGCCCCTCGGCCCCGTAGGGTACCTGAGATCCTCTCCCATTTAGTTTGTTTAAGCAAATACAGAGCTTTCGTCTTGACGTGAACCTTAAGAACCCCATAGCAGAGAGCATAAAAAACGGAGAAGGGGTAGCCGCGCAATATAGTGTTGAAAGGAGGGAGATGCTGGCCAGTGTTTTAACCAGTGTGCCCATGCTACTGGTGCCGCCTGCGCGTGAGAAGGTCGGCGATGGAACTCTGCCACTCCCTCGCTGCCAGCGCTACGACCAAGCTTCCCGGGGGCTGGATCTTATTGTGTATATTCTGCCTTGTTTAGCAATGGCTGTGTGAACGCGCGACGCATATGAGCTCTGCACGTAGGAGGTACTGTTCACAAATCTCCAATGATTCTCCTAGGCCGTCACTGCGGCGTGAATGAAGGCTCGCGTCTGTCCAGCCGATATTCACACATTTTTTCAGGCCTTCCAAAGCTAATGCGTTTACTTTTGCGATTGCACAGACTTGAGCTCACTGATGAGATGTTTATTGGCCCTTATGAGGTTGTGGGGCCTTAGTATAGTTTCAGTGCCAGATACCATTCGGCATTAAAACAGCGGCTGAGCAGCTGAAGGGGGATTGGATTAAGTGGAGTTTACTAGCGGTTTCATGGTTTGTCACCTGAGAGAATAGGCAGCCATCACTACCCGCAGGGCGTCACCGCTCCTTTGGGTATACATTAGCGTGTGCTCGCAATCAGGAGGTGGTCCTATCGCAAATATGGCTGAAGGCAAAAGTATCCAAGGATATGTTGAAGTCAAGGAAAGGCTGGCGTATATCACTTGTTAAGCCAGTGTGTGTACCTTGCGAATTGCCACTCAGAGCCACTCTCTGCCTTCGCGATGCTCCAGTTGTGCAATGTTGCCACTGCGTCTCCTTGTGATGCACTGTTGCGCGAATAGCGCTGCCCCCGGAAGCCTTCTGGAATGCAGGGTTCTCTCTTCCACCCGCCATGCAGAGAAGGCTTCGGAGGCACGCTATGCCGTTTCGCCTAGAAAGTCGCTTCCACGTTTTCCAAAGAGGCATTTGAGTCAGACGCCGGCAATACGACAGACGCTTCTTATTACAGCATAGGAATAATTGAAGATGATATCAAGGGCAGCAGTGCTGCCCTTGATATCATCTTCAATTACTCCTAGCTGAAGGCTCAGTCAATCGAGCATCAGTGTCCCGATCCCCGTAGGAACACTACAGAGGCAATGGGTAATCCTTCCACGGGATTCCTGTGCCACAGCAGATGCACAATCCGATCGGACATAGATCTTCTCTCACCTCTGAACTAAACGCGCTCAATTATATTGAAAAAGCCTCTATGGCCGATTTTCGCAATGCCTTTGTCCCCCATAAAAAGGGAAACTCTCTATGGTGTCCCCTGACGCAACTGCCGAGGAGTTTGCCGTATCTAGTGCTACTAATATTGACAAACAAAAGCCTTGTGAATGAGTATTTTCGGCTTCTTACTCCTTAGGAGTCCCACGTGTGTTTCCTGCCACTGTACGCTGATGCGCTAATTCTTTATGGGAAGAATACTCTAAAAAGTAATCCACACTGTAACCATATCTGTCTGCCTGTTGGTTTCCCCTAAATGTTTGACAAGGAGTTCATAGCCAAATAACCTGCCCTGATCCTGCAATACAACAAAATACCTTTATATTTGCCTGCGTCGAGACCCTCAAAAGAAGGTACGGACGGCGGCCACGAGGTGCCAGTGGCTCTCCGAAGTTCGCATAATGCCGAAGAGGCAATCTCTGCCAAGGCAGGGAGCACTTCGTCTCTTTGACAACTAACAAGGATACCATTTTTGAACAGCGGGAAGTTGCGAATCAACTGTGCATTATTGGCGTCGTGCAGCGCTTTCGAAGATCTTCATCAGCTGCAAATGCTTGTGCGAGGGAGGGCTCCTCCCCGCGTGCTAGGCACACAAAGACATAGCTTCCAATCAGGACAATACGCACTCTATAAAGCCATTACCATAGTAGTGGTGGCCCTCACACGGTTGGCTTGATGCTTACACTGCAGCTGTTTTGGAAGTGAATTGCGATTAAGGCTGGATGGTATGCTCCACCTCCACCAACTTCACATGTTGCTCCAGCAGCATTTTAGGTGAGGTCCTGCAACCGCTTTATAAAACGGTCCCTAACTAAACGTCTGCGAGTTGTTAGATGTCAACCTATAGCAATATGGAGGTAGCACTACATTTTGCTTCCGGCAGGTCTCGCCATCTCGACTTGCCTCGCTGTCCAATTAAACATGGGCATATTAGTAGGAGCGTGCACCGCGGTCAAAAATGGCTCTATATAGGCTAGCTGGGTAACACAATCACAATCATTCGAGTGGTCATACGTCTAGTGAAGCAAGCAAAGGTAACGACCAGGTCAAAGCTTACATTACTACGCGTGAGAAAATGACAAAGCGAACCTTGCGCAGTACGTCTCTTCCTTTAAACGTCAAATGAGCGGAATGGTGCCGAATGGTGCCAAAATATTTGAGAGTAAGACAACCTTTAATTCAATGGAGTTTGGGCTTTTCACCAGAGAGGCCGCCGCAGAGGGGCCTGAGGAGGTGAGCAGAGAGTTCGGAGGGAACCCCAGCTTTCACGCTACAAAATACTGTAGTCTAAGGGTTTGGGAAACTCTGTTTTGCTGTGCATATATCAACTGGATCTTGTTCCACAAAACCAACAACATTACCAAGCAGTGGGCCCTCCCTGAGGTTAGCTTCGTACCCTCGGCGAATAGCCGCAAATCCGAAGCCCTAAGCCTCCCAAATCCCAAATCTTAAGCCGCTTGATCCAGCATCACAGTGAGAATCTTGCCATGAGGAAGGCGGACTATGCCGATATCAATACGGGGGATCTTCTCTGAGGGGCTCCACCTCTCGATAAGGTCTGCAGCAGCACCACGTAGCACCGGCAATTCAAGTATTGCAGAGAGAGATATACCACACGCCGCCAATACCAAGGACAAATAACTAGATAGAAACTACTTAAATGCACTGGTATCCTCTGGGGGGACGCTTTTTAAGTATTGCAGGGCTCGCTCGAACAAGCCGATTAACTTTTCCGTCTCCTGAGGCGCCAGAATGGACACAAACAGAATGAAGCCTACGTCTACACCAAACACTAAGAGGGCTTTATGGAAGGACAAAGTGGGCAAGCAGAGAAATACGCAATTGCAAGCAGCGTGCCGCCGCGAAAAAGCGAGACAGAGAGGTACGACCTACCCGAGACGAGATATATTCAGTGCCCAAACGCAGCGACAGCATGTTGGTCTGCCTACGAGCAAGGCAGAGACCTTCCTAGAAAAATATAATGAAGGAATTTAATTGTGCAACGATTCTGGAATTTAGCGCCTTATGAAATATGACCCGATCACCTGCTGCGAGTATGTCTTAGGCAGCACCACGCGTCCCAGACCCTGTAAGAACAAGCAAGCACTACACAGATGCACGAGCTGACGCAAGAAACCCACACCCAACATAACATGCCCTTCACTAACCCCACACACGTAAAATGCAGACGAGCTCCCGGACGTCAGGCAGCTACGGGCGAATGTTCATAGTGGGGGCAGCCAACCATACAAGAAAGCCGCATACATGTAGATACCTACACACATCCATTCACTGACACAGCCAATATAGCACGCACATGCAAAAATACACATCTGCAAATGCACATGTGTAGTGCCAGAGGCATGTAGACGCACGCCCGCACATTCACTTGTGTACTTGGAAGCGCGTGCATGTAAAATTCATAGGTAGGCCATAGCTTGAGAGACTGACATGTGCTGACTTGATGGTAATGTGGAGCACTTACCCTGGAATCCAAAGAAACGAGGTACGTGTGGCCGTCGTCAGCTACATACGAGGCATGCTCGGCTGAGACATACAAGGACAATGCCCAACAGCAAACGCTTCTATGTTTTGTGCTTTGCTTCTTCTTTCCTTGATGCCGCCTCAAGTACAAACCTCTAGCCGAAAAGACCCAACTACAAAGAAAAGGCTGATGCACACATATTTCTCTATGCCCCCACACATGTATGATCACATGCACTCCTGATACACGCATATATACGCCGTGCAGCAGCGCCTCTCGCACTGGCTCTATCAAGCTTTCTGCAACTTCCATTTAATGCTGCGGGTGCTTCTGCGTCAACTCTCCTCAACATCCGTCTCTCTCAATGCAGTTTATGTCTCCCAGCGCCATGTTAATTGAGTACCTTAAGCAGCTCCCCCCCATACAAATACATAGATATCCACATATACATATATATATATACATGTATATATGTATATATAGACACACACACAGCTGCACATACACTGCGGCTATACTGCATACGTACACCTCCCCTGAGCTGGTTGATCACAGGCAAATGGCTCTATCCCATCCATCAGGGCCCTTTTAGTGTACGCACGCTTGAAGCATCAAGCTTGACTGGACATCTCTAGGGTCAGTTCCTCCGCAAAAGCAAAAATCACACGCTCACAGCCCCAATGCAGAAGTAGTGAGTCCATGAGGCTGTTGCTGTAGCGAACATCCCCCCGGAGGCCTTGTCGTCTTCACATTTGCAAGGGTTCAGGAGTAGGGTGCTAAGGAAGGGGTGGAACCTGTAGCTTTAAAGGTTCTCTGGAGGCTACAGAGTGGCGATGGCAAGTGCAGTTGTTATCCCTACGTCAACTGTGTACTTCTGGGTGCGAACTTTTATTGCATACAACATGACAAGGACCGTAGCGACAATGCCCATTAAAAAGGTCGAGTCTATAAAGGAAGCCTTGTTGATGCTGTGTTTCGAATTCGATTTAATGGACCGCTCAATTCGGACTGCGTTCATCAGTTTGGCGATATCGAAACCATCTGGATTCTCCTCCTGCGGAGAGGATCCGCAGGTTGCTGAGGAGAGCGCTTCTCCTTTTGTCTCTATGGTATCAGTGGTCGGCGAATCCGTGGACTGCACTGCTGGCATAGAATATGTCGCTGTCCCTTTCACGTCTGATATTTCTGCTGCTGGTGAAACTGCCGCTAACACCGGAGGGAGAGCGAGGACGCAGACCAGCCACCAAGCAGGCACCGGCACTAGCAAGAAGCTGATCCCTAGCCACCCAGTCCACATGCCTTTTCCGCCACGAGGCAACAGCTGCTAGGTTTCTGCTTTTGATGCACAGGCAAGGCAAGGCACAGGAATGCACGGGAGAAGCTGACGCATCTCCCCCCCTTTGAAGGCCCTGGCGCAATGCAGCAACCTCTATGCCCGTCAGAGCGATCCCACACATACCCTTGCTGAGATTTCAACCAGGGATGCTGATACTAGGAGACAAGAAGATCACACGATCGAAACACGGGAGGCTGCCTCGAGTTTCTGCTGAGGACCTGAGGAAGCTCTTTTACCGGAAATAGCTGTACACCTCCACGCTAGGGCCACTGCTTATTAGGATAAAACAGCAAACTTGGGAGGACACGCAGAAGAATTCTCAAAAAGCTAAAGAGCAGCAGGGTCCACCCAAGCGGCAATCGGCCGCTCCCCAAGAAAGAGCAGGCTTCCGGTCCTACTGCCACAATCTCACACAAGAACAGGGAATTCCGGAACCAATATAGTACAGAAAGTAAAGGCAGATATCCGTAAGCAGTGAGAGCTGCCACCGACCGAACATTACAGCGGGCGCGTAGGCGTGATCGATACAAGTCCCCAAACCACTCCACCAACGAAACACGCAGGAATAAACGCGAATTGCTATTGTTGGTTTCCGCATGCTCGAGCTCACCATGTAACAATGTTCTTCAATCCTGATTTGCAACTGTGAACGCAGCAAGGAAGCACATGTTGCCCATGCCCCCTTGTAGGCCTGTGTACCTCGCGACTCACACGATCGGTCTTAACCGTTACAGCGTATATGTGACCCCAACATTGTAAAGGAGGCTAGAGGGTAATTATGCGACCATACGCTTGGCCTAGAGTGAAATATTGTCATAAGCAGATTTACACGCAAGGACGTCTTTGTTCTGCTCCGTGTTGCCATGCCGTTTTCCGGCAACTAGCAGGTTTCGTCATTCATTTTTCTTGCATACTAATGCGAGGCTTTTCTTCGTCTGTGGGTTATGAGTGGCGAGAAGGTAGATAAGGCCGGGTACTATGCCGTGCGGGCTACAGAAAGAGAGTTAACCTCCCGACCTAGCGCGAGAAAAAAGTTTGTGAGTTGCGCCCACTTGGGATGCATATTAGAGGCTATATTTCAGGATTTGGAAGGGAGGTTGCGTGGAAGACAGACGCAGATTACTTTTGGAATGAACAAAAACCAGTGCCTCTGCATTACTTTGATTGTGGGTAGTGGTCACATTCCTTGAATAAAGGAAGAATTCTTCCGGATAATCTTCAATCCAAGCGGCATAGCCATAGCTGGCATCTGGTGGCCTTAGAACTGCTACGCTCGGGCAAGGTGATCCAGAATTCTATATACGGTTTCCATGAGAAGGTGCTGAGGCGGTGCCTTAAGCTGAAGGCACAGCAGACTAATCTACAACTAGGCGCTGTCTACTGAACTAGTCATTTTCTTAAGCAAATAAAAAGGGTTTTGACTGATTGGTGTGCACATATTCTTATATGTTATTAGTTAAGAGTACTGTTGGCTTGATACAAGGCGGCCAATATGTGTGTGTGCGCTATGTACAATGTGCAGTTAGACGTAAAGGTGAGGTTCGGAGTATATGAAGGGTGCATCAACGCGTGTTCTGGCTATCACTCTCCTCCCATGTCAGTGACTCTGAGAGGAGCGGGCAGGGCAGAACGGCAGATTCGTTAAAAGCATGCAATAGCTCGCAAATAACTTGGCGTTGAGTCTGGAGTGATTTAAGTGACCCACCACGCAATCTTTGGTTAAGCATTATTGGAGGTGCTTTAGGGCCCCATTAATGGTACTTGTCGCTGAGAGATAGCAGGATGCCCAGATTGTTGTGTAAAATGGCCTGAACCACGTTTATATACTACTCATAGCTGTATTACTTCGCGCTCATATACATCGAGAGTGCGACAGTAAGTAGCGGGTGCCTTATAAAAATGCCCTGATACTGGTTTGCCGATGGGTTTTTTTCCGAGCTTTGAGCCGCCCGTTAGAAAAAGTCGTGAACGCGTGGGGGAGCTCTTACTACTACAGAGGCCTCTAGGAGGGTGATTCGAAGGGAATACCCCGAAAACACCGCAGACGTTGCAGCTACCACAGGAGATTTATAGTGGTTCGAGGGGAGCATTGAAAGTGATGGGCCCCTGGAAGAGGACCGGGTGTTTGAAAGCACTAGTCCATGAGCACGCATTGGGATGCGAGGACTCCGTTTCACAGCAAGTGTTTCCAGGGGGCCCCTGAGGCTTTTAGTCATTGCGTTTTGAAAGTCAAGGTGGCCTCTTGATCGACACCTACGTATGTGTCGTTACATAAAAAGAGAGAGAGAGAAAACACCTCTCCCGCCTCTTCTGGCGCTGAGAATCTGAGGACATTAGGCAATAAGCAGCAGCATGAGAGACAGATGCCATTTGGGGGCGTAGAGGCACAATTTCAGGGAAAGAGACACAAACAGCGCAGGAGACGGGAAAGGCTTATGTGGGGAGGCAGAATCGCAGAAGGGGTGGAGGGGCCCCACAACGAGAGAAAGAGAGAAACGAGCTGTTGAGCAGCTCCACTTGAAATGAAGTCTGACAAATTGCTAGCGATTGGCGAGGATTGAAAGGCCCACAGGAGCCGGTACCAAGCAGCAGGGCTCGAATAAGGAAGCGGAAAGACAACAGGGTGTGGAGATGGCACACAACTCACTCAAGAATCAGCTTGCTGTGGCCATAGGGGCGTATCCTGAGACGGCGCAACGCCACTAGTTCGTCGGCGGCATCGTCGACGTCTCCAAGGATGACAAACCTGCACAGCGTGGCCGATAGGCTCAAGATTCTTGATTCGATGAAACCACTGTCTGAGCAAAAGCCTCCCACTCTTAGGTTTCACATACACCGATGCAGCAAGACCGACTCGTCCCCCCTGGATGAGCTCAGCCCAGGCCTGAACAAACTCCTATACATACCAGCTCGAAGAGGGTAAATTGTCGCGCTTCGCTGCCGTATCATTGGATGCGCCTCCTAGGGGCCCCAAAGCTCTCACGTGAACCTCCAGCTGAAGGTCGGTGCCTGCAGGGATGATGAAGCACTTGACGGGCTGACCTGTAAAGAAGCAAAAGCACCGGCAGCGAAAGAGAGTATCTCAGGTTGAGTAGGTAGAGATCCAGTATCAGAAAAACCAGCATTCGCAAAGCACTTGCTTTTACCGTCGTCTCTCCGTATGACTTGTTGCTCCACTTGCGTGAAAACAAGTTCTTCCTCGTCCGCCTCTTCTCCTCCTGCACCGCTTCCCTCCGTCGCTGTCGTTGCAGCGTACAGAAACCACCTCATGCGCAGCCTGGGAATGCGTGCAAGGAAGGACAGAACCTCATTCTTCTCGTGGAGAGTGAGGCCAGAACGAGTCAATGACGCGGCGGCAGATCGGTCCTCCAGCAGCTGCGTGGAGAATAAAACGACACACACACCCAGCTTTGAGTAGACATTCCGTGAACAGACAGCCCTCCCCTCCAAGAGTCAAGAGACGACGTCAGTAAAGCCTTCTAGAACTGGCACACAGCACGCCGCTCAACTCGCCAAAAGTTTCTGAAAGCACTACCTCAAGAAAACATGATGAGACTCTTCTAGAAAAATAAACGGCTACTGCACGCTGCGAACTCCAGACCCGCGAAGCTCTCCTAGGCCCTTAGCACTCACGTGGGCAAGGGATACAATCCCCTGTTGCCTTAGTGCTGCGACAACAGCATCCGTCATGTGGGGGAGGACATAAAGACTGCTGCGGGCGGGGTGTGTGGCGCTCCGAAGACACTGCAGCAAGAGGATCGTCCTGAGGGCGTACTGCAGCTGCGCTTCCTCCGCAGCCACGTCAATCATAGCCTTAAGCACACACACGCGCAGCAAGACAGGCAACGCAAAACACAAACAAGTGCCACACATGTGCATCACCAGCAAAAGAGCCAACAGCTCCCCGCCTTCTCACTGCCCCTGCAGGCCGCCTAGGGAAGACGCGACGTGTCTGCGCAAGCAAAAATATTAGCGGTCTTTAGTCACTCGCATACCCCGACGCACTGCTACCCTTGGATTCAGCAAAAAGGACAAAGCGCCAACAGTCGTTGCTCTAGAGACATTACACTTATGGCTCAGACTCCGGAGAAAGCACGTCACCCGTCGCAGCGACACTGAGAAAACTCCAAAGGCTCATACAGGCCCTTGCCATGAACACGGGGGGAGGGGAGAAAGGGAGGTAGATAGCAGCAGCCCAGTGTGGCAGTGCCCCTCCTGTAGCCGCAGGCAGCTGCGCAGAAATGGAGGGAGTAGTGTACCTGAATGACTCGCATGGAGTTCTCGAGAGCGCTCTTAAGATCCGTGATATAATCGGAAACGGGCATAGGCCTTTTGAACATGCAGGCCTGTAGCAGAAGAAAAGTTTTCGTGTGGGGAGAGTCAAAGCTATCTCCCCGCACAGGGAGAGGGCACTCTCGAGCCAACTCAGCGTTGTGGATCTCTTCGTTGTGTCTGCATATATACACCGGCATTTTTCGCATTCGATGTTCAGGACAGAGAGATGCAGCAACAGGAGCGGCAGACACACACGCAGTCAGGAGCCGTGCCGCAGTTCGAAAGTATACAGCCGCCAACCCCAAAGCAGAATCGGCTATTAAAGCGGTGGGGGGGAATACAGCCCGTTTTCATACCTCAGTGGCATTTGCGAAAACTCTTCTGCATCCGTCAAAAGCCTCAGGATATCTACGAAAGACAGATAAGGGGCCTCCGGCTGCATCTTGTCCTGCAGCATTTTTGAGGTTTTTGGCGCGATGTAGTAAAAGCACGCGATTCGACCAAGCGGAGTTGCCTCGATAATGGGTTCCAGCATTTCGTGTTGCTCTTGCTGCTGACTCAGCAGGATCTGTCGAAAGCCTGTGCCCTGCTTGTCCTTCTCCTTCTCAGCAGTTGTGTCTGCGTCTGCGGATGCGCATGCAGCATCACCCGCCTGCTCCCACGGCTCGGGGAGTCGCAGCGATATACAGCCCAGCTCAAGCAGCGTGTCTAGACTGCTGCTGACGAGTCTGTCAAGGTACTTGGCGATCATTTGCCTTCTTCGTTCTGCTGCGGCAACGCTGCCCCCTCGCGTGTCTTCAGTCAGCAACTCCGAGCTATAATACCCTGGATTGGAAGCAAGACGCCTAAGAGGACGCGAGACAGCAAATCGGAGGCAGCCTCGCTCCCTTCTTGATGGCCAAATGCCCTTGCACTATTCGGGTTCTACAATAAACTTTTTCCGGTAGTAATTGATTTGCTCCCGCCAAAAAGAGGCCCTAGCCTTGCATGCAAAAAGGCCGTGCTCTTGAACCCCCTGCCAGACAGCCCGTACTAGAAATTCCCCACATTACCTGAAGAAGTACGTCCACGTGAGGTAGTCGATGGCCATAGTCTTATTGCGGATAGTTCCAGCAACGATCTCAGCATTGAGATGCTCAGGAAGGCAGAGGTGAAGACACGATTCAACTGGGAAGGGGAGATACAGGAAACGCTTCAAGAAGCTCTTCTTGCTTTCTTCACAGAAAACGACTGCCACCGCCTCCGTATCAAACTGGGGACGACCTGCCCTACCTATCATCTGTGTCACACACCCCAAATGCCACCAAGCAGCAGCTAGCCACAGGCGCATGGATGCAGCCAGGCCAAACACGCGCGCAACAATCGTCTACTGGCGATAGCTGTATGCATGCGTGTAGGTATGTAGGAAGGTATGTAGCATCCAGACATGTACGCATGTATGTAGGATATGGGCATATATGTATGTATGTACAGTGTAGGCATATATGTATCATGTACATATAATGTATGCATGCATATATATATATATATATGCAGGAAGCTTTGCATAATTTGTGTATGCATATACGTATGGATGTATGCATGTATGTATGTATGTATGTATGGATGTATGCATGCATGTATGCATGCATGCATGTATGTATGTATGTATGTATGCATGCATGCATAATGTAGATATGTTCGCATACACCCAGGAAAGATGTCAAATGCCGATGAGCAAGCCGACGCAAGAGGCAGTGGACGCCTCTGACAGCAGGCTGCCAGGCCGCCATGCGAGCATGGAACAAAAAGACACTGTGGAGAAGCGAGTGGATGCTTTAAATGGGGCTTTCTTTTCTAGCATGCGGAGACTTCGACAAGTGCATGCCTGCAACGGGCAAGGTAGAAACACGACAGCCTCTATGTGTCGAGCCTTGGATGTCTCGACATGCCGTCTCGCATGTGCAGAGGCCTTCATCTTCATGCATTCGCGTATGCAATGCATTGCACTGCATTCTGTGCATTGCATTGCATTGGATTGCTTTGCACTGCACCGCATGCAAGCAAGAAAAGGGGGCTCATTGTATTACCTGGAGGATGTCGGTGACGGGCATATCCGTGTAGCGTTTTGTTTTGCCGTCGAAGTATTCGGTTCCCTGAGGCAGACAAGGACGCTGCTTTTCCCCCTTATTTTGCGCGTGAAGCTGCTCGAGCGCAGAGAGCAGTTTTTCTGCAGTTTCCGTTTAGGGTGCAGCCACACAGATCGGCCCAGCTGCGGCTAAGCGTCCACAACAGCTCTTGCGCGGCTAGAGTGCAGAGCGACCAGAAAAGAGGTGTCAGAGCCAGCAGTGTGTTGGAGCTCCGCCGCAAAGCCCACGGGTGGCAGCGCGGCAAGTGGTGGGAGACTGAGGCGTGGCATAAGAAATGCCGCACGCCTGCCGATCTTAGCAAGCCTCTCTTACTTTGATCACAACGAGTCTGGCTGGCAAATTGAGGCCCCATGCCAACGTGGCGGTAGCAACTAAGACTCTTACACAGCCCAGGGAAAAGAGGTGAGCTGCGATCTCGCGGTCAGCCGGAGAGAGGCCTGCGTGGTGTATGGCCACTCCGTGCAGCAGCACCGAGCGAAGCGTCGCATCCTGCAAAAGAGCGAGCGAGTAAGGAGGCACTGCGCAGGGGCAATTGTGAGCTCCTTAGAAGCCTGCAGTTCAGCTGGAGGAGGCTTCGAGCGGTCTGTCTAAGAGGCTACGAGGAGTGGCCCTCTAAGACGATCAGCGCTTCCCGTGGTGGGAAGGAGGGAGGAAGACTCGCAGTGTCGCGTGCGAAGGGGTTACGAGGCTTGGAGTTCGGCTGTCTGTCTGTCTGCCGGCAGGGAAAGGACGGGAGACTCGCCTTCACGCGGGAGATGGCCTTAGCATACTCCGTCTTCTGCTGCTCGCTTTGGAGCCATAAGAAAAGTGTGCCGCCTTCGTGCATGTGCTGCAAGGCGATGAGTTCTTTGGCTGTGAGTCGCGTCTGCCGTCGGGAAGCTACAAACACCAGCACAGGTCTGAGCCTTGCTGGCGCTGCTGCTGTGGACGCTGCTGCTGCTGCAGCGGCAGAAATCTCCTTTCCTGAGGTAAGAGAAGGCGGAGAAGGAGGAACGGTGCTGTAGATGCCTTGCCGCTCCGTCGAGAGGGACGCGCTGCGACTGTCTGCCAGCGCATGCGTTAGAATGGCATCGAAAGTTGGCTTATTCATCGCAGCCATCCGGGGGCAGAAGGCCTTCTGCGCAAAGCCTACAGGGGAGCACGCAAACAGAGCACTCGGGAGAGAGTCATCGCTAGGGAGACTCCGATTTCTCGACCAGCCTCCACGCGCGCATTGAGCCGCAGAAGCATACCTCACAGTTGTGCTTCGAGAACGACTACGAGCGAGATTTTTGGAGCCTTTCTCTACACCCCTTCCCTCCCTCTTGCGCGAGCCGCCGCCAAAATGTGCGCAGCTGCGAAGGCGCTCCCACACGTCACGACAAGACTAATAGCCTACCTGCAATGTGCACCGTGCAGGGAACAGGTCTGACAGCTGGCCTAAAGCTAAACAACCCAACTCTGCCGATGCCAATCCACGCGGCAACGTCGCCAGCATTCGCCAGCGCCGTAGAAAGCCCCACAAGACGCACTCTCCGCGAGGCTTGGCTGCTGATGAAGCGCATGCGGCTCACAATCGCCTCAAGCACGGGACCTGTGCATACAGACACCACCTCCTGCCAAAGAAAAGTTTCCGCCTAAACACATGCAGCAAGAGGATTCATCATCATCCTCTCTTTCTCCCCCTCTTCTTTCAAAAGAGGGCTGTGAATGCCAGTTGATCCCCTAAACACCCGACATGCAAGTCACTACGTTGCGTTTATTGCAAGCGAAGAGTAGCCGCTTCAGACGGCCACTCTTCGCCTCCCAAGTGACCAAACGATAAATACGTCTCTCTACACTTTTTGTTCTGCATATGTATATATATACATCGTAGTTCTCTCTCTCTCTCTGCACATATATATCGTAGTTCTCTCTCTCTCTGCACATATATATCGTAGTTCTCTCTCTCTCTGCACATATATATCGTAATTATCTCTCTCTCTGCACTTGTAACGCCTTTCTGAAGGTTGACGACTCCCTGCGACAGCCCAGTGTCGACCTCTCCCTGTTTGCTGCCTGATGGCATTACCTCTTTCCTGCCCAAGCAGGTGAATTTCATCAATGATGAGGAGGCCTACAGCGGCGACGAAGTCTCGCGTCCTCCACTGTCTCGACAGTCCATCCCACTTTTCAGGGGTGCAAACAAAGAGGTCTGCGAGACGGGGATTCACTTCTTCTTCCTCGTCCGTGTCTGCCGTCATCTGCACGACTCTCAGACCTAGAACCTTCCCGAGTCGCTGACGCCAGTCTTGCAGTCTTTCGGCTGCAAGGGCCTTCAAAGGCGCAATATACACCACCTTCTGTCCTGGGTAGCACCTTAGTGCGCGCAGAATGGTGAGCTCTGCAACAATCGTCTTTCCACTGCCCGTAGGAGCTCCCAACAACACGTTGTAGTCCGTGTGGTAACACACGTGAAACACTTGAGACTGTATGGGGTTGAAGAAGGAGAAGTTGTAGAGAGACTCGTAGCGAGCGTTCTGCAAGGCTGTCACGGGCACGGGATGCATGTCGAGCAGCGGCGTTGCAGCTGCCGCAGAGAATCCAGACGCAGAGAACTGCGACGCTGCAAAGGGGCAGGTGCAAGAGACGCCGATCCACCTGTCGCTGATGATGCTGATCGCGAACTGCGTTTGCGTGGTGGGGTCGTGAAGGGGCAGCGCGAAGGTCAGCTTCTGCTTCTCTTTGACGTGGGCTTTCGTCAGATGCAGCACCTCCTGATGGAGCAGCACACCGGTGTCACTCTCCGACAGCCACACGTGATACAACTCTCCAGCTCCATGCAGCGCACTATTCCACAAGAAATCCTCCACGAAAGACACGGCAAGAGAGACTCGGATGATGTTATGAGTGATCGACGAGACCAGCACTTCTGCCTCTACCATGGGTACCCGCCGCAGCGCCCTATACAGATCCTCGCCGTCAGCCTTGCTGCTGCATATGCTCTGCAACTCGGGAAGGGAGAGGGAGAAGAGCCGCTCCTGCGTGAACCGCAATCTTTCCACCTTCGCCACAGCTTGCGGGCGCAAGTACAGGCGCTGTTGTCTGCCCTGCTGCTGCTGATGCAGCAGCTGCTGCTGCTGTGAGCGCCGCTTTTGAGGGTCGGGGGCGAAGCAGTTGAGGTTACAAAAGTGCCGGAGCACACATGCATCTGGCCAGAAACCTCTTTCAATAGCCTTCGTCCATTCAAGAACTTTTTCTGCTTCGTCCGTCCTTCCCACGGTGTCTGCGAGAGACGCTGTGAGAAGTGCGCGCGCGAGCCGTCCAGCATTCGCATAAACGTAGTTCGCGTCGGTAATAAGAGAGGAGGCTTGAAGGGAGGCATTGGATAAACAGGCTTGCAGAAGCGTGGCGACTTTGCAAGGCACAGAGTCGAGATCGCCCCGCCAAGGAATGCGGCAGGCCCGACTGCCTCTGAGACTCGCAAGTTCTTTCTCTTCTTCCTTGCGAACGCGAATGCCCTCGAAGTCTTTGGCAGAGCCGAGGATTCTAAGAAGATCGCCGTCGGTTAGATGCCCTCGGTCTAGTTCGCGGGCAAACATTTGAGCCGTTTCGTAATCCACGTAGAAGCGTGCCGCCATTCTGCCGAGATCTGTGATATCGAGACGCCCTGCGCGTCTGTGGAAGCGCAGGAGGCGACAGTCGTTAAGGCGAGATGCAGCCGCTTCAACAAGGGCCATGCGGTGGTTTTGCAACGTAGGATCATCTTCCAGAGCACTACGACGCACGCCATAGGCCTCCGGGTGTGAGCGCATGCGCACAAAGAGGAAAGTATAACGCAGCCACTCCGCTGCATCGGAGACGGAGGAGACGGTCCCCAGCGCAACCTCTGCGTTGAGCGCGTTCGGGAGATCTTCGAGCAGCCGCGACTCTACAGGCAGAGAAGACGTCATCAAGCGAATGTACTTGGCTATTTTGTTGTACTCCGTGATCAGCACAGCCTCTCCTACGGTGTCGAATTGAGGCCTCCCCGCCCTTCCAAACACCTGCGCAACATCCAGAGGGCCGATATCCTTGTTGCCACTGCCTTCTTGGGGGGAATAAACGGTGGTGCCCTTGATAATGACGCAGCGAGCTGGCAAATTCACACCCCATGCGAGAGTAGAGGTGCAGCAGAGCACCCGCACGGCGCCAGAAGCAAACAGCCGTTCGGAAAGCGTCCTATCCGATCGCAGCATTCCTGCATGATGCACTGCAAACCCCCTTGGAGCCAAGACCTTAAACTCGTTATAGCGAGAGCTCCGCTCCAGTTGCAGCAGCAACGCCTTTTGCTGAGCGTTTGGATTTGCCAAAGCGAACAGAGCCGCATGCCCTCGAGAAGCCGCAAGCGTTGCCAGAGCCTCAGCCGTCGCCACGGTGCCTTGTCTCGAGTGTACGAACACCATCACCTGGTGGCCCCTCTGCACGACTGACAGCGCTGCTGTGAAGGTGCACTCATCGAGGACGCGCATCTGCTTGTTAGAATCCATCTCCTTGATGCCCATGTACGTCTGCATCAAGGGAACTGGACGCGTATCGGCTCCAAAGTAGAATGCATGCGAAGGCGATACCAGCAAAAAGTCAGCAACCTCGCGCCTGCAGAGAAGCATATATGGATATATACAAAGGCAGCCCAGAAAGTGCACAGATCGGCCTCGAAGAAATCGCATGCAGGAAACTCAGGCTCGAAAAAAAATGGCTCGCATCGCATGCGTGGTTCTTTACACCCAGATGCACAGACAGAACAATGCAAAGGCGGAAAAAATCGCAGTCAGAAACAACAAAGCGGCGATTGTACTGAATGGATTAACCGAAAAAGTACTTAACCAATCGAAAATAAAGAAAGCGGGGGCTTTGTACACACCAAATGCCCCCGCAGCCCAGAGCACGCGAAACGGCAGCGTCAGACTGTCGATGCGCATGGAGACTTATGCGGTTGGTGATACTTTATTTTATTGCGCATGCATACAGACACGAGTGAAGACGGCACCGGAGACCCGCTTTTTCAAGAGACCTGCAACCAAGCAGGAAAATATCCGCATAATGAGGAGACAGGGAAAGCCGAAAAGCACTCCAGCGAGAATATAACTGAACGCACCAGTTGGGGAGCGTGGCAGAGATGCCGACAAGCCGGGTGAGCCTCTGCGAGCGTTCTGAATGTCTGAGAAGCCGGGCGACGAGAGCTTCAAGCACTGGGCCTCTTCTCTCGTTTAAAAGATGCACTTCGTCCAAGATGAGGCATTTGATTGTGTCCAGCAGGCTGCATTCTCCCTCTCCCGAGATGGAGAAAACATTGCGCGTCAGAATATCCAGCTTTTCGGGCACTGCGACGAACACGTGCACTTGTTCAATCTCCTTTCGAGTGACAGGCATGTCTGCTGTTGCCTCGGCCACACGAATTCGCAGAGGGGCCAGCGCCGCTTGGAATTTAGCGGTGACTTCAGCAGCCAAGGATTTCAGAGGAGCGATGTACACTGCCTTGAAGTGCTTGGCAGAAGGCGGAGACCACTCTTCTAACTCGGCTGGGGCAGTACAGGGAGCGTCCGCATGCGTGGGGCTCGAGGGCCTGTTCGCGGGGGTGGGGTTGTGGGTACTCCCAGTTGTGTTCGGGTCGGGGGGGGGAGGGCTGCCGCTGTTGCCGCGAGATCGCCTGGAGGCTTTGCCGTCTGATAAGTGGCGATGCTCGTTGAGCTGCTGCAGGAGAGCGAGGAGAGCAATGTTCGTCTTGCCTGCCCCCGTAGGAGCACAGACGAGAAAAGACGCGGAGGACAGAAAGGCCACTGGATACACGCGACTTTGCCTCGGATTCAAAGTCTGAATTCCACCAAACGCCGTCTGCGCCCATGAAGGCAACGCGCTTATGGGCACTAGGGAGGCCTCATCGACCTGCGTTTGAGGAGCATTGCACGCACTACAGCAACCGAATGCATGCATACACACTCATACGCTCCTTCAATGCATGCAAGCACATACACACGCATATAAGCACCTTCAATGCATACATGCATGCATGCATGCATACGCACACACACATAAGCACATACGCACATACGCTCCTTCAATACATCCATGCATGCATGCATGGACATACACACGCATATAAGCACCTTCAATGCATGCATACATGCATGCATGCATACACACACACACATAAGCACGTACGCTCCTTCGATACATCCATGCATGCATGCAAGCACACACACACACATATACGCACATACGCTCCTCCAATACATCCATGCATGCAAGCACATACACACAGATACGCTCCTTCAATACATCCATGCATGCATGCATGTACACACGCACGCATATACGCTCCTTCAATGCACGCATACATGCACGCACGCCTTCGAGCAGAAGCAGCAGCATAGGCTGCTGCCCCAGACCAAAGGAAAGGAGCAGAAGAAAAGGCGTAGCAGCAAGGCCAAAAAGCCGTCGACTGTGCATTAGCCTAAGCTCTATTACATATCACAGCTATTCTTTGAATTGACTGCAGCGGGCAGGGAAGCGGCGTAAAAGGCCGCCTCACATGCCACGCTGAGGCGACGGCACTGCAGGAAAAAAAGCAACTCGAGAAGACGCTGACAAGCAACAGCAGCAGGCAGCTGCGTGGACAGACAGCAACAAAGACCTTACAACAACGTACTAAAGCAGGCTTAGGAGGAGGAATGAGCACTTCATAGGCAATAGGCGAATCCTTAACTCGAGAACCTTCAGGAAGGCAGCCGCGAAGGGCTCGCCGAGGAGACAGCAGAGAGGCAGAATCATCAACAATGTGCACTACAACGCAGCAACAAGCAGCGCAGAGAACCTCCTGCTGCCTCCTCAAGAAAACATCGCAGTGTATGCCCCACATGCCACACTGCACGTGAACTTGCTGCTGCTACTACTACCCCTACTGCTGCTGCTGCTACTGCTACCCCTACTGCTACTGCTGCTACTACTACCCCTACTGCTGCTGCTGCTACTGCTACCCCTACTGCTACTGCTGCTACTGCTACCCCTACTGCTGCTGCTGTTACTGCTACCCCTACTGCTACTGCTGCTACTGCTACCCCTACTGCTACTGCTGCTACTACTACTGCTGCTACTACTACCCCTACTGCTACTGCTGCTACTACTACCCCTACTGCTACTGCTACTACTACCCCTACTGCTGCTGCTGCTACTGCTACCCCTACTGCTGCTGCTGCTACTGCTACCCCTACTGCTACTGCTACTACTACTACCCCTACTGCTACTACTACCCCTACTGCTACTGCTGCTACTGCTACCCCTACTGCTGCTGCTGCTACTGCTACCCTTACTGCTGCTACTACTACCCCTACTGCTGCTGCTGCTGCTGCTACCGACGCGTTCACCTACGTGAATCGCTAGACACACGCAGCAGCGGTGACAGCCGTGGCAGCATCCGCAGGGGGCACTGCGAACCTACCCGATTTGTAGGGTGTGGGGGCCTTGGTATAACCAGCGTCCGCAAGGGCCCCTAAAAGGCTTTTGGGGGCCCCCTGCTGTCCAGACACCGCTGCAGACCGACGCCCCTTGTGAAGCGGCATGAATTTAACCTGGAGGCACAGCCGCAGCACCCAGAAAGAAACCTCGCAGTGACTCAGTAGCCACAACAACAACAGCCACAAGAACGACAACAACAACAGCCACAAGAAGTACAACAACGACAGCCTCAAGAACAACAACAACAGCCACACCCACAGGACGGGGTTTTGCCCACAAGGCGGGCGACTGACTGAGCGAAAAAAACTGCTGAGCGTATTACGTTTGAAGCAGCAGCGTTTGATGCGAGGGGCAGCCTCAAACATATTGAAAGATAGATAAGGACAGACAACCAGGAACGCACCGAGGCACCAACCAGCGTAGGACCCTTCCTCTGCGGAGACACCCCGTGCTGCTGCTGAGGCTGCTCGGCTGTAGTCTGCAGACGGGCTGCAGCATCTATCAAGCAAGGTGCTCTCGATACTATTCGATGCACATCCGACACACGATCTTGCCCCAGTAGCTGCAGCAGCGTGTCAACTGCTCCTGCGTTGGCTGAAATTGCCGCCTCAGGGTTTGTTGATACTGCTGCCTCTGTGCCCTCGTCGGTAGCCGCAAGCGCCCCCAAAACAGCAGCCATCAGCTCTGAGTCAGCAGAACAAACAGACATCCACAGTATGCACATATGCAAACACAAGCACACGTATACAATATACACATATACATACACATACACATGTACACACAAACAGAAACACACGTGCACAATATGCACACATACATACACATACGCATGTACACACAGAGACACATGTACACGATATACATACATACACATACACATGTACACACAAACACAAACACACGTACACAATATGCACATACATACATACACATACACACACAGCGTGCCGCTGGCGAAGCTTACACGGCAAGAAAGGGGGGGTTACACAGACAGAAGATCAGCAGAGGCTAGGATGGAAGAGAGAAATCACGCAGACGGACAGGAAGCGGCAGGCAACCAAAAATGAGCTGCCACAGAGAGAGATATGTATATGTATTACATAACAAGAAGCGCAGAGTGACCTCGTAACGGGAAAACGCTCTGCATCACAGAGGCAAATATATAAATATATAGACATATATAATACATATTTATATTTCTATATATATTGGGAGAGGGAGAGAAACAGCAGAGAATACGCAAATCTGTGCATTCCCACCTGCCGCACTCCTGCATAGAGGTGCCAGAGGGTCGTTGATATCGGAGTACTCTGAGGAGTTGTAGGGGTGTTGCGGTTGCTTTTTAAGCTCCTCCTGAGCAGTGACTCCTCCTACAACTTCCCAGCATACGCGATGCAGCCACGGAAGGCCCTCTGCTTCCTCCTTCTCCTGCAGTTGCAGTGTGCCACTACCAGGCAAGGTGATGCGGGGAGCAGCAGCAGCTTCATTCGCTGCTGCTGCTTTGGCAGACGCTGCTGCTGCTGCTGAGAGCAGCCGTCCCTGCTTTGCAGGAGGCAGCAGACGAACAGCTGGAGGGGCCTCCTTGAAGTCTGCGGCACTCAACGCCAAACCATCAGACAAAGCAGCAGCAGCAGCACCTGCATCACCAGCATGCATCCTCATCAGGCAATCAAACCATGGAACCTTAATGTAGTTGCTACTGCAAACGCAATCACTGCTTCTAAGTTAGCTGTCAATTGCTGCTTCTAATGCAATTATTGCTGCTTCTAAGGCAATTATTGCTGCTTCTAAGGCAATTATTGCTGCTTCTAAGGCAATTATTGCTGCTTCTAAGGCAATTATTGCTGCTTCTAAGGCAATTATTGCTGCTTCTAAGGCAATTATTGCTGCTTCTAGGGCAATTATTACTGCTTCTAGGGCAATTATTGCTTCTTCTAATGCAATTATTGCTGCTGCTCTCTACGATATCTGCTGCTAGCAGTCTGCACATGCATTTGGGGAGGTGTACCTACTGCTGCCTGTCGAGGCCTCGCCTCCCTGTGGCAGCAGCCTGCCAATGCTTTGCGCCAGTTCTGCTGCTGCGCACTCGGCTGCTTTGGGTGGCGGTTTTAGGGGGCCCCCTGCATCTGCAGTAGGGGCCTCCAGCAGCAGCGCTGCGAGGGGCACTGCCCCTGCAGCCACGACAACACCCCGCTTAGCGAAAAACGCGGCTGCTTCATCGGCGGAGGAGAAAGCGCCATGTCGCGAGCTTCCCAGCGAGAGGCAGCCTTCTGAAGAGAACGCTTCTTCCAGGCAAGGACGGCGCAGCTGCTGCGGCTGCCCCTTGTGGTCCTCACAGTGGCGCTGCAGCTGCTGCAGCCGCTGGAAATCGTGAGGCTGTGTCTGCTGCTGCTGGAGCAGCAGAAGGGAGGGAAAGCGCTGCTCGTCAGCGGCAACAAGCCGCCTCACGCAGCAGAGGAGTCGCGTTGCCTCCACTGGTCCCAGGGCAGGAAGGAGGTCTCCGACAGTTTCCAATGCACTTACTGCCGCTTCCTGCACGCCTGCTGTCGCTGTTGCAGCCTCGAGAGGATCAGGAGGGCAGGGGGGAGAAGCCAGTCCTCCAGCAGTCAGCACTTCAAACAGCAGCGCACAGGATTCGCCCAAGTCGTGCCCTTCGGGGAGCGCCTCTGCAACGCTGCCGCATAAACCCTTGAACAGAAGCCACGCAGGATCTGAATCGCCTCCCCTCGAGGCGTCTTCAAAGGCCGCCTTCTTCCATCCCCGAGGAGGCGCTGTCAGACTCTGGAGAGCTCTGCTCGCCGCTGCATCTGCTGCTGGAGAGGCACAGTACAGGGCTAACGCGCAGCTCGCATGCGGGCAGCACAAGAGGGTGCTGTCGCCGGAAGTGCATCCTTCTGAGGGAAGGCCTCCCACACCAGCTCGCTGCAAAAGAGAACTGTGCGGCAGAACCGCGGCGGCTGTCGCTGTGGAAAAGCGCCACGGACCAAAAGGTATGGGAGATGACGAGAAGGCATTGCAGTCATCTGTACTTGCAGGAAGTGCTGGTTTGCCGCTGCTGCTGCTAGTGCTGCTGCTAATGCCGCTGCTGTAACTGCTACTACTACTGCTGCTGCTGCTGCTAGTGCTGCTATTGATGTAACTGCTGCTGCTGCTGCTGCTGCTGCTGCTGCTGCTACGACTACTACTAATGCTGGAAGCACTAAAGGCGCTGTCAACGCCTCGTGCGGATAGTGGGAGGAGCCTATAGGGGTATCTGCTCGGCCTTGGCTCCCTGCCACTTTTTTGCGACTGCTGAAGCTCGCGGGTGACTGCTGGTTCGAGGATTTCCAGCAGCCGCCAGCGCACGCCTCCCCCCTTTTCGGGGAGGACGCCTCCTTGCATTTAGAAAACGTCCAGTTTCAAGGGCGGCCCAAGGGGGGCCCTACAGACGGGCTAGGGGTCACAAGACAGCCAGAGCAGCGTGGTGGGGTGGAAGCGCGGGAAAATCCTGAAAGTCGCGCGTATTCCAATAGAAAGCAGTCACTGCCACGCCGAAATGGCCCCTGAGGACGCACGAGAGGCTGCAAAGCCGTCGCCGAGCACCACCCCCTTCGCGTTGTGCTCACCGGCAGGTCCTGGGGGGCCCCTCTAAAAGACATCGATGGCATTCAACTGCGAACTTGGCATTGGTTGGAAGAAACAAGCGCAGTGCTTGAATTATAATGCACTTCTCTCCTCCTCCATCAAGGGTGTCACGGGAGACTCCTGGATCGGTGCACTCTTTCCGGCGCCACCGTCGACAAGTACGTGTAGGCAGGTCTGCTGTCCATACATCGCATACACGAGTTCTCCCAACTCCCTACCTTACTAAATGCATCAAAAACCTTGAAAACACAGACAAGCAGTATTTCGCCGCCGTTCTAATCATCAGGTTCCTCTAGAGCACCCTAAAAAGGGGCCCTTCCAGCGCAGTAGCTTGGGGGCCTCCGTAGAACACCGTATATATATGTGTATTACTATGTAAAGTCCTAGATACATATAGGGCTCCCAGATTAGGTGCTTCGCCACGGATCGGGCATGTCTCGATATGAGGAGGCTTCCTCTTTATTCGCCGAGAAGCCTTCCCTTTTGAGCGACCTGCCCCTCTACCCTTCAACCCCCAGTACTCTCGCGAATCCATGCGCTTGCTCTCTCTGACCCTGCGCCTCTCGCTATGCACCAGCCCCCTGCTAGTCTTCTAGGCGTTACGTGATACGTGCCTTTTCCAGCCTCACTTGGGTGTTTTTAGTGCCAAAGTATAACCCTCGCACCACACCAAGAGGCAGACTTGCGCCCTGCAGATACCCGCCATGCGCGTCCCCCCCCAAAACCCGCTCCTCAGTCCGTGGAGAAGGAAAACGGATTGATATGGAAAAGGGCTTCAAAAGGGAAGAAGGAATGACGCCTTGAACACACCCACCCCATCGGCTAGCCGCGTGTTCTCTAGCAAATGGACATAAAATTCCAGACTTCATCACTTCATTGGTACGAACCCGTGACGACGTCGATATACAGGGTAAGGGAGAGGCGCGCCGTACGCGGCTGTACGAGGAACTTCCCTGCAAAGATGAGAAATTGCATCTTTCAGTGCAACCGGAGCGCAGCGCCTTGCATTGAAGGGTGTCTTTTGGACGGGCACATCGCTCTTCAGACGATACGCAAGAAACGTTGTTGTGGAAAACTTGACTAGGTTTCATCTCTTAAGGCCGCGTCTAGCCTCATGATGACGGCTTGAGCACCTGCAAAAGAGGTCAGGTCGTCGCCTTCCTCTCGGTGCCTTCCACCTAAAGGAGGATGCTTTGCTTAGGCTTGAGCTTCACCTTGCTTCTTGCTGCTGGATTGTGCTGCAGCTGCCGTCCTTGGAGAAAGAAGCGGCTGCCATCCGGCAACAACAACAAGAAGACACTCGCAGCCTTGGGAATACGGCGCGTCACGCCATCTGCACACAGCAGCAGCAAGCACTGCACACGCAGCAGCAGCAGCAGAAGGCGTCGCCTCAAAGACAGCATTGGTAGACGTTTGTCTCTCTGTCCGGGCTGCTGTGCCATGTGCAGCAGTTGTCGTCGATGTGCAGCCTCCACCGACAGCCCCTCCCCTGGCACAGCCAGCCTGCAGATAAAATCCTTAATGCTCCAACAACGCACACTCTCTCTTACGCACATACACGTAGAAAGCCTCACCTGCTGCGTATCCAGCACCACAAGACCTGCAAGGCCGCAAAAGGAAGGGCAGCTGCTACGGTGTACAGACACCCACGCGCCGTGCAGATCCATCTGTGCGGCAACCCCACATCTGCTAAAAGCGCTTAGTTTGGGGGGCCCATAAGGAGTTTTATTCTGCTTCCTGTTGTTGTTACTATTGCTGGTGCCTGCTGAGAAGGTTCCTGCGGCTAAAGCTTCGACTCCACACACTGAAACGGCGTACTGCTGCCACAGCTGATAGAGCGGCAGCAAGTCGCGCAGCCCTAAACTTGGCTGTTGTTCTTGCCGTTGCTGCTGTTGCTGTTCTTGGTGCTGTTCTTGCTGCTGCTCTTGCTGTTGCTGCTGCTGTTGTTGCTGTTGTTGTTGCTGTCGTCGCTGCTGCTGCTGTTGCGCTTTGCGACGCCTGCTGCTGCTGCTGCACCCAAAGTCTGCAGCAACATCGAAGAGGCCAAGACTCTTGGCTTTGGTGCGGGAAAGTTTCAGGGCTTGCTGTTTCTTCTGTTGCTGGTGCTGCTGCTTGTGTTGGTGCTGCTGATTTCGCTGCTGCTTCCTGCTATCGTCCAGGCGGAGTGCGCGGGCACCCAACTTATCCAACACCAAGTCTGCCGCAGAGACGCGTAGTGGACAGAGCTTCAGAGCGTGCAGACACACTCACAGACAGATATACATATATATGTATGTACCACCGATCCACAATCCGGTAGCACAGAAGCAAGGCTGTCACAGACCCTAAATATGTCATGTCTCTGCAGCAAGAGAGAGAGCGCAGCAGTACTAAGTGCAACCACAATCGCAGGCAACGAGCATCTGCACCAGCAAACGTGTCAAGACCGAAAGCAGCAGCAGCCACAGCACAAGTAATGGGGGCAGCACCCATACGCCGTACCTCAAGCAAACCCTGCACAACTTGGAGGTCTGTACGCTGCATCAGTGAGGGTTTCCGTAGCGGATGCTGCTGCAACAGAAAGAGTTGCTTATACAGATGGTGTGTCTCGAGGGGGCCCACAGATACGGACGCTTGTTGTTGCGGCTGCTGTTGCTGCACCCCTTGCTGTTGCAATGCTTGATGTTGCAACACTTGATTTTGCTGCTCGTCCGGAGGAGCCTTCCTCTTCGCGGGGAGCGCAGGACCAGCGCTGCCGTGCTGCATTGTTGTTCCCCTTGCAGCGAGTGATGCTCCCGCAGGGGGCGTTGCTCTCTTGCTGATGTGAAGGTCCTGGTGCTGCTTCAGCTCCCCGGAAAGACGCTGATGAACCAAGGGGTCTAAATTTCTGCAGAAGTCGCCTGGATTCAAGCCCGACGCCTCTGGGGGCCCCCTTAGGAGAGCGCGGGGGAGGGCTCTGCCGCTTTGCTCTTGACAAATTGCTGGTGCAGCAAGGAAGCAGGCAAAAAGAAAAGGATTCGAAATTCGAAGACAGGCCCAAAAAGATCTATGAAGGAACAGGAGGGTGGCCCCTGCTTCTGCTGCTACTGCGGGCAGCTGCATCCGCGGCGGCACTCGTGGTAGTATTGAACTGAGCAGCAGCAGGCGTTCCGGGATGGAAACATTGCATCCACACGAGAATTGACAGTAATCTAGGGAACTCTGTGGCTTTTACGTGCGTTTGACTCATTTTTGCTTTTTTCCACTCATCTAGTTCTTGCAGCAGTCCTTCACGCGTCCTACATGCAGCAGCAGCGGCAGCGCAAGGGTGTGGTCCACGACAGGCAGCCGCGCCACTGGAGAGACAGCCAAATGCTACAGAGGGAAATTCTCAGAGGATCTGTCTTACACAGCGTGGCTGTGCGCGTTCGCCTGCCGCGAGGGCTCACCAGCACCAGCGGTTCCTAAAGCGGCGGCATGAAGCGCAGTTACAGCTGTCGCTGCAAAAGGGCGAAACACCCCGGATAGCTGTCTTCCACGCGCCATGAGGAGGGATGCTGTAGGTGCAGCTGCAGCAGCTTCGGCATGAGTATAGCCTCTAGCCGCACTCTCTCTGGGTGGTGTGTGTGTGTGTGTTGACCATTGAATGAGGCCGCTTCTACCGGAAAACAGCAACGGCAGCGGTGGCAGCAGCACTTACACATACACACGCATGCATACGTACACACACGGATACACACAAAAGACGAGAAACGGCTTTGTGTGTGTTCCTTTATGAGCCCAACGAACTTTGAAGAACCGTCGCTTAAAGGCCGCAGCAGCAGCAGTCAAAATGAGCGAAGACCTGTACTGGGACACGAGCACGAATCGCTACTTCAAGTTTAACGCCGAGAAAGACGAATTTTATTCCGATGATGAAACGCGAGCTGCAGATGCTGCTGCAGCGGAGGAGGCGCGGCTTCTCAAAGAGCAGGAACAGCAGCAGCAGCAGCAGGAAGCTGCAGCTCCTGCTGGAGCCGAAAGCAGAGAGCCTCAGAAACGTACGGAAACAGGGCCTTCTGACGCTTCTTCAGCAGCAGCGGCGAGCGCTGAGGTGTCTGCGAAAGAAGCGGCGCACACGGGGGCAGCAGAGAAGGCAGCTGGAAAAAACGTTGCAGCACAGCAGATGGCATTAGAGAAGACAGCTGTCGAGCAGGCACCAGGTAAAGTAGCAGAGACACAGAAAGTGGAGGAGATGAAAAAAGCAGCAGAGACACAGAAAGTGGAGGAGATGAAAAAAGCAGCAGAAACACAGAAAGTGGAGGAGAAGAAAGAAGCAGCAGAGACACAGAAAGCGGAGGAGAAGAAAGCAGCAGAGACACAGAAAGCGGAGGAGAAGAAAGCAGCAGAAACACAGAAAGTGGTGGAGAAGGAAGCAGCAGAAACACAGAAAGTGGAGGAGAAAGGAGCAGCAAAAACACAGAAAGTGGTGGAGAAGGAAGCATCAGCGACACAGAACGTGGAGGAGATGAAAAAAGCAGCAGAAGCTGTACAGAAGACTAAGGCGGCTGCGGAAGATTCAGCTTCTGAAAGTGACGTTGCCAGCAAGCCGGGTTTACTGGGAGCTTCAGTGGCTTGTCATGAACGAGTCGCTACTATGTCAGAACCACCACGCGATGCTGCAAGACTTACGTTGATGGAGGACGCTCAACTCCGCAGCGCTAGCAGCAGACTCCTTACTGCTGGTGCTGAAGCAGCGCGGCATGTGCAATTAGAACTAAGCAGGAAGGCGAGCATTTTTCAGCTACGGCTTAAGTGGTGGCTTGTGTGCAGCTGTATGTATGTGTATGTCTGTGTGTATGTGTGTATATGTATGTGTGAGGTGGGTGGGGAAAGGAGGGCTACTCTTTTTTTGTCGAGTGCTGCTCGAGCTAAGTGTCTTTTGGGTGTGTTTGCGCGGTTGGCGGCATTGCCTCGTGTGTTTGAAAGGGGAGCTATGCCGCTTCTTTCGTCGGTTCGCATCTGTGCCTTATCTCAGTAAATATGCAGCTGTTTTCTCTGCGGGTGCTCTTCCGTTGCAGCTGGAAGAAGCAGAGGCAGAGATCGCTCGTCTGAAGGCTGCGGAGCTGGCAAGAGATAGGGGATTAGATGACAGCCAGGAGGCTCAAGCACTGATTCGAGTGTGGAGTGGAGGCTGTTTCTGTTGCTGCTGTTGCTGTTGCTGCTGGCAGCAAGGGGCTGCCGCGCATGTTACTGCTGATAAGTATTCCCCAATCAAGAGCCTCCTGACACGCTATGCGTGAGGTTGCTGCTTCTGCATGCAGGAGAGAGACGAGTTGCAGCTGCAGCTTCAACGGCTCCGAGAAGACACTGCTGAGCTGGAGGTAATAGTGCAGCACCTTCTCCTCTAGGCCATAGATTTTAGAGCATTTTGAAGACAGCAAGCCCAGAAAGCAACAGCACCACTAGCAACACTAGCGACAGTAGCAACACTAGCAACAGTAGCAACACCGGCACCACTAGCAACATTAGCAACAGTAACAACACTAGCAACAGTAACAACCCTAGCACCACTAGCAAACGCCATACGCATGTCAACACCAAGGCCGAGTTTTTGAGGGGTTTATTGGCACCCCTTCTTGCATTTCATCCCTTCGGTTGCTCGTCATGTGTCACTCCTGATGCAGGAAGCGATGGAAGAAGCCGCTGTCGAGAAGGAGCTGGCTTTGGAAAATCTGGAACGAGAAAGGGCGAAGGCGGAAGACATCAAGCTGGAGCTTGAATTGCAGGTGAGGCATTTCTGCTTTATGAGACTTGAGAGTTTTTCAGCCAGCTGGTGAGTCGCAGGGCTGCTTCTTTTTGCCAGGATGCGCGCTGGCGGGTGATGTGGCAACGCATGCTATCTTCTCAGTTGACTGAAAAAGAGCTGCAAGTGACTCAGCTGCAGCAGCAGCTGGCAGAGCAGCAGGCAAGAGAGGCCGAAGCCTTAAAACAGCAGCACCACATGCTGCAGCAACAACTGCAGATGCTCAACAAGAGCAAAGCCAAAGAGTTCGAACGGGTACGCTGTGTTGTGGCCGTCCTTCCTGTAGCCTATCTCCCATTTCGCCCAAATGCAGGTGAATATGTATATGTATATGTAGGTGAATATGTATATGTGAATATGTATGTATCTGTACATGTGTATATGTATATATTTTATGTATGTATATGTATGTGTATACGTATGCATACACGTATGTATGTGTATATGCATGTGTGCTGGCATACACATACATGCAAAATAGGTGCACCTGACCCCCTTATTCTGCTGGCAAGCTGCTGCAGTTGGCAGTTTGTTGTGCATGGCTGTGACATTTGGGTATGCAGGGGGTTGAAAAGCTGAAGCAGCTGCTTCTAGCGGCACATGAAGAGCGACAGAAGGCTGTCTTTGAAGCTCAGGCGCTGCAGCAGCAAGTAGCAGAGCAGCAGCATCGTATCGAGCAGTTGCAGGTACCCTCTATTTCACCTTCGTCTTTGCCTGCCGCAAGCATCGCGTTGTTTTCTTGTTTGCCCTCTGTGACCATTCCTAAGGGCAGCGTTTGTGCAACGCTGTACTGCAATTTTTCGCTTTCTGTGTTGAAGCATCCGTTGATGCAGCAGGCGGATGTTCGCTGGCCTCTCGCAGTGTACAGCTTCCTTCTGACTCTCTGCCATGCCCTTTGTCTCGTAACACCTGGCATGTCCACCAAGACAAACTTTTGACTCTAACTAGCGCGGCTGCCCTCTATCCTGTTTCTGAGCAGTAAACACCCACCCACCCTATATATCTGTATCTACATATATATATATATATATCTGTATATGTAGGAATATATGTGTTTATATGTGTATATATTTAACTATATATGTATATACTTATCTATATATGTATATATGATGTGTATACAAATCTTGATGCACCATGTGTTTTTCCCCCTTTGCGATATCGCTGGTTGCGTGCAGGCAGCGGCTGCCGATGATCAGAGTCTTCTGCAGGAGTTGGAGTCGCAGCAACAAGATCAGCAGAAGATGCTGCAGCAACTGCTGCAGCAGCAGCGGCAGCAGCAGGAGCAGCTTCGGGAGGCTGCAAAACAGCGCCTTGTCTACCTCATGGCATTCCAGCGCCTCAGTAAACTTTACAAGGAGAGCGAAGTCTCGCATGTAGGAGCAGCAATACATGCCATGTCGTACATACATATACACATATACACACTCACATCCATGCGAGCATAGCCTTGTAAAGTGGCCTTGGTACATGAATCTTCGTGCGGCAGTCTTGACTGCGATCTGTTGGAAACTACTCCTGTCTGCTGATGCTGCCGTATGCACATCCGTCTGCGGCGCGTCTGCTGCATTTGTGTCAGTGTCAGTGTGTGTACATATATGTTCGTTTTTCTCATTTAAAAACGTGGGGGGGTTCCTGTAAGTTGTTGGTTGCTCCTGTGTATTTTGCTTGGACTCCACCCGCTCGTCCCCTCCGTCATGTCTCTGTCGTGAGTTCGACTCCTCCCCGTTTTTGCCGCCTCTCCTTCCTTGCGATTGCGCATCCTTAGCGCGGCACTGAAGACAGTCTTCGCGAGGAAACGCAGCGGCTGCAGCAGCAGCTGCACCAACTGAAGGAGGTGGCAGTGCCACGATGGCAGCGAGTCTTCATGCTGCATGCGGCAGCAACTTCAAGCCTGCCTGAAGCAACCTCAGACACAAGCGAGGCAACTCTTAAGGAGCAGCAGCTGTTGCGGTCCAATGAGCTGCTTCTGCTGCTGCGAGAACAGGCAGTGCTGCGGCAGCAGCAACAACAGCGCTGCGAGCTGCTGCAGCTTTGTCTGCCTGAGCAGTTGCTGCAGCGTTTCCAGAAACGCGTGGAAGGACCGCTGCTGCTGGAAACGTGAGACGGAGAGAGTCTTTAGAGATGGACAAAACAGAGAGACAAGCGCGTGTAGAAGCTCTGTCCTAAGCCAGAGGCAGACACACACACACACAGACACACATACATATACACACACATACATATACACACACACACCCACACATACACACACACACACACACACACACACACACACATACACACACAAACACACAAAGACACACCTACAACCACAAAATGCACAACAAAAACCTCACACAGTCACCCACACACCACATCGCACAGCCTAAGTCCATAACATAAACACCATCATAAATCACAACAACACACATAAGAAACAAACTCCCCCTCGAGCAACCTCAATAACAGTGCTCTCGTGTGGTGGTCGGTGGTGGTTGGGTGTTGCT